GGTTGATTAAAAATGTGCACAATAGCTTCATTATGACATGGGGAGAGATGTCTGCTGTTATTTTTAATCTGATAGCTTTTAAATATGTGCATCCAGCAGAGACCCAAATGGCCTTTGAAAAGAGAACCATTTGTGGGATAAGATTTTTAGACTCCACTTCGTTCTTTCTAACGAGCAGCAAGAGTCGGTTCAAGCTGGAAAATGAACTGTAACCCTTTTTTAAGGTTTTGTCTGCTCTAAAGCTGCAGGGTTTCGGTGTGTGAACACATACAGAGTGAGAGAAGGTGGAGGGTTTAGGTTTTCAGGTGAAGGAAAGAAAAGGTACTGTATTCTAAAGTTTTTTTTCTTTTATTAAAAAAAAAAAGAAGTCTATTTTCAATTTGTTTGGTATGGTCCAAGCACTAGACAAGTTGAACAGTTAAATTGCCCATCCCTGCTGCTGGAGCCTGCCTGCCATTGAGCTGTGCCATAGTGACAAAAAAATGACCAGGAGGTCCAGAAGCAGACGGAGGGTGATTTCCCATCTCTGGAGCCTCCCATGGGCTGGTTAGGGGCGGCTGGTGAGGAGGGCCTGGCAGCTGGAAAGTCTGCTGTGACTGAGCTCTGTAAAAGGCTGAACTTTCACTTTGACTTTAAAGTAAATAATTCGCTGCTGGGTTAGGTTGGTGGAATTCACCAGTGTGCGCATGTTTCTTCTGGTGTTTGTTTGAACCCGAGTGGAAAGTGACCGTTTGACTATGGCAGCGATGGATGTTGGGCTTTGACTTGCCGGCTTTCTCCTAAGCAGCCTAGTTTCTTCGCCTACAAGCACATAAGCCGATTTATCTGCCTTCCCTTGTGCCTCTTAATCCGCTGTCGTTTAAAATCTGCAGTTCTTTCCTCACCAGATTTAGCTTTCTGTCAGCAAACTGGCGGGCAGCACCGCTTCGCTGGAACTGGTGGAGCTGCCGGGGGATGAGGCGGCTCTCGGCCGGCCATGGCCTCCCCGGCTTGGGGGGCTCGAGGGGTGCCGAAAAAAACTCCCCGGCCACACCTGGCAGCAGGGCTGCTTGGAGCAGGCGTGTAACGTGAGCTATCTCGTGTTGTGTGTGTGGTCGGACCCCAGACGCGTGCCGGCCGGGGGGAGATGAGCCTGAGAGCTGAGCAGGGCCGTGACTCAACAGCTGGAGCGCGTTCAAGCACAGCGGAGTGGGAGCCTCGTTAATAGGAGGATGGAATTGGCAATGAAACGAGTGACGTATTAAAACTTGCAGTCAGAAAGCAAGAAACTCAAATCCATAGTAAAGTAATCTTGAAGGGATGGGTTTTTTCCATTTGTGTCCAGCAGCAGAGCATCCAGACAGATGAAATACGAGGGGACAGACAGTCAGCGGTTCCTTTGAGACAGAAGCACTTTGATATGACAGTTGGTTTTTTTTTTTTCCCCCTTCCAGTTGAAATCACTCCATTGAGTTTATCACCCTATCTTTTCCCATTCATCTTAGAAATATTTGGACACTGCATAGAAGTAAGTAGAGGGTACCCTCCTCCTGCACACCAGAAAGGAGAAAAAGAAGTTAAGAAAGCCAGTGCTGAGACTCCAGTTAAACACTGCCGGTTATTCATCTATAAGAGGCAAGGGTAATACGATAGAACAGTTTCCAGCGGGCAGACTACCAAGCTCAGGAGCAACCTCAATGCTGCATTAAAGGGTTTGGTTACTGTAGACAGGAAGGACCAGAGGGACAGAAGTGTTTTGAGCACTGCCATGGCTCTGTTTTCTGCTTCTCTCTGTACATTATGAAATTATTTGATCTGTAAAGGCATGCTGTGCTGTTTGAACTTTTAAACTGGACAGACATAGGACACGTTAGATATTTAAATCAGGATATAGTGTAAAGAAAGTGACTTTCTCAAAGCAGATGCCAGTGCTATGGTAACCAGTCTAGGAATCCTTGCTCAGCTGTGCTTTCTGCAGGAGAGTTTCAGTCTTCATCTGTACAAGCTTAGGTAGCTTATACTTTTGAGCTAGAACACCTTGCTATTTAAGTGTAACTTCTCTTCTATACCACTTCATCCAGATCCATTAAAATGCAAATTCTGTTTATAACGCTTGAATGATATATCTGCTTGAAAACCATAAAGCCCATCATGCCGAATAAAGTCTGTTGGCATTCACTGAATATAATCACAGTAGTACCACTGCTTGATTCATGAATATGCAGAGAGGGATGAGGGCCTGCAGTTTGATGGAGATGCTGTACTGGAGTCACTGACTCACCCTCTGCTCTGTTTAGACAAGTTGCTTCACCTTTGTGCCTGCTTCCCATCTGCAGAGTAAGGTTAAGACCTAACTGTTTAAGGATGAGAAAGATATGTTTGTAATGTGCTTGAAACAAGAAAAGCGCTATTTTAAGTCCTAAGTGTAATTGAGTGTAAGAGAATATTGGTTTGTGACTCATTTGTTTAACTGCAAATGCATCAGAAACTTATGAGCAGATGAGATCTGGAAAATGCTTGTTGTAGATGGAAAGACATGGTAGTAAAAAGCTGCATTAATTTGTGATCTTCAAAGCAGGACTTAGTGGGGCTGTTCAAACAATAATGTTTATTATTTTTGCAAATGTCAGCTGGCTTACTTCATTAGTACTATTTTAAGAAGTTCCTATTCTGCTCCAGCCACTTGCTGCTGTAGGTCTGTGTCCCCTCAAAGCGTGGCATACAAATGATTCAGTGTTTGGTGTGAGAGAAGGGTAAAGAGAGCGAAAGGCAATGGTTAGGCTGGTAGTGGTGGTGGTGCTGAAGGGCATCTGCTGTCAGCAGAAGAGAAGCTTGCTCAGCTGACGAGACATCTCCTTTTGGAGGTTCCTGACCATGCACTCACATTGGTTCAGCCTTCATGTGCTTGCCACATAAATGTATCTGGGCAGAGATGTCTGGTGGGAAGGAGAAAAGGAAATAGTAAGTCTTCTGAAATCTTTCTCCTTTCCAAATTTCTAGTCCCTACAAGGCAAAATTACCATCATAATCAACCAAGGATTTTGTAGCTATTGAACATTTTCTTACTCAAACTAGCAGTTTGGATCTCACTGCAGCCCGTGGAGGAGCCAGACACAATTTGTTGCTGCTACCATTATTTCCCTGTAGATTAATTATTGTAATTATTTGCCAGTTCTTGAAAAATAAATTCAGAGCCATGACTTCTCTTGGCAAGTGTGCATACACGTGCATGTATAGAAATTCTCATATGGTGTATGAAAGAAATACAAATTACTGGGGGGGGGAGTGCAAGAGCATTATCACAGCAGCCAGGAACTGTTTTCAGTGGTGACCTTCAGCACCCTGTGGAGCCAGAGAGGTTTTAAAGGTTTGGAGATCCCCTTGTGGATGTAAAGCAATGACGTAAATTGTTCCTAAGTTAGGGTGCCAGCTGCTGTGAGTGATTCTTCAGAGGCCAACTGATATGTCTGGATTTATCTGCAGTGACCATGGTTTTTAGTGCCTCCATCCTCAGTGCTTTAAACAGGACTTTATGATAGAAAGAAAACTTTGAAAAACATTTACTCCTGTAAATGGAGAACAGGTCTGCAGGCAGACTAGATTAGAATTGGTGCTGATGCAGCTTCCATTAATAGGATGCCTGCAAATTTTTGATCTAGAGGACATAACTAACTAGAGGTTTGGCTCTGGTGAAGGTGTTAATAGCTGGGTCTTAACACACTACCAGGAAACCAAGTTTAAAGGGAGACAACCCTTACGGGGAGGCAAGCACAGGTTTCTTCCCTTGAGTTGTGGTTAGGTAATTTCTCAGTATGAGCTGTGTTTGCGCTGCAGTGTGGTATTTAGCTTCTGGGTGCTAGATTTGACTCAGCAGCCTTTTCTGTTTGCAGTCTGCATGCTAACAAGGTGGTGCAGTGCTGCATGCATGGGACTGTGCCATTTTGACTCATTATAGCCAGTGCAGCCAATTCCCAAATAATCTAAAAGAAAAATGAAACATACAGCAAAACTGCTTACTTTTCTTGATAATGTAGTTAGGGACAAGTTTGGTATCTTCTGCTGATTTACCTGGGTCACTAGAGAGCAATTCAGACCTTCATTTATTAAAGTGCTCTTTGCTCAAAATACATTCTAAATTGCTCTCTACAAGGCAGCTTAATTTTATTTAGCTTCATGGCTAAACAGATAAAAATGTATTTCAGTGGTAAATCTGCATATGGCATGATTGCAAACCTTTGAGACTTCTGCTTTTAGATATTCAAAAGACCATGAAAATACAATTCTTAAAAGGGTTGAGCAGTTCTGTAATTAAGCTCCTTCAAGGTTGCTCTGGTATTGAAGTGGTTCCTCTGTTCTCTGGTTTGTCTGGCACATTTGAAGTGAAATCCATGGCAAATGACAAGGGCTGGCATTTTTGTTCAGGTTATCCATGGAGCCACATTCAAAGGTGATGCTACCAAGTGGATAGAGATCAGGAGCCTGGGAAGGGCATTATGTTGGACCATGTTCTCCTTTCCTGAAGCAGCCACCAGTCCTGGGTACGAGGCAGAACCCCGCCTGCACACCCACAGTGGCTTCTGACCTGCAGCCAAAGACACGGGCAGGAGCCCTGCTCTGCCAGAGGTCTGCGAACAAGTCACTTCATCCCCTTGACTCAGTTGCTCATCTGCAAAAGAGGGACGATGATTACCTCCTTTGTAAAGTACTTTGGGAGCTGCTGGAGATAAGTGCTTTTAAGAGAGGTGGTTTTCCTTTTCTCTCCAAGGCACAGAGCAGTAGCAATCCCGCTGTTCCTGCCTTTGCACTGCAGTGTTGCTGCCTCCGAGGGGAAGCAGGAAATGATGGTGATATTGCGGTTGGAAACATAATGGAGAGCCACAATTTTGTTTTTGTTCCACTCAATAAATTTACATGGTTGCAATGTTCTTCATAGGCTGGTCTTCCAGATAATGCTGTAACACAAAATCCCTGGTTTCAACAAGTTTGCCCTAATCCAGTAACGCATTTCTGTGTCTTTCTAGATTCTGAGCGTTCCCATCTCTCCTCGTTCACTATGAAGTTGAAGGGCAAGTTTCATTCACCAAAAATAAAGAGAACACCTTCAAAGAAAGGAAAGCAAGCTGACCTGACAGTGAAAACACCAGAGAAGTCAGCAAACAAAGTAAGTAGACGAAGGACATGTTCTGTTAGTCTTGCTGGTTTCTTGCTTGCTTTTATCTTCAGTTTATCAAAATCCAGTGCGTGACTTTGTCCTCTGCTGAATTCTGCAGATTTTTCAGGGATCCTCAGGGTGACTTTATGGTTAGTTATAAACTGCGCTGTGTAGTATAAAATAAGAGCAACCAAGGCATGTACTTCTCTTTGGAGAGCCTGATGAGACCTCCTTCCATAAGCATTTAAATATCTCATTATGGAATGTAGTGTATGGCCTGACACATCCTCCCCACATGCACACCCTATGGTTATGCTTACAGCTTCCAAATAACTGCCTGGTTTTGGGGTGTGATGCTTTTAAAAACCCCAAAACCCAGGTGAGCAAATCGTTGAAGTTGATCCAAAGATGTGCTCAGTCTCTGACAACATCAGCAGGGAGAGTCAAACAGATGTGTTCAAGCAGCTGCTGATTCCAGCACACCGTTCCTCAGACCCAACATACTTCAAGTCCTCTAAGAGCTGAGGTCACCACTCTTTCCCAGCACTAACCTATCAAAGTGTTATCTCCTCTGCTGACATGATTATGTAGACTGGGGACTATCTGTAACGGTATTGTTGCAGTCAGTTTTCAAGGATAAATCTAAGCCAAAAGTTAAGAACAGCTGAGGTTATTTGTGATAATTCAAAATCTTTCCCAGTTGTTGTTGAAAGTCTCATCCAATGTGCAGTGCCAGACATGCAAACTTTTTTAGATTATCTCTGCTGAGGATTGTTGTGGTGTTATTGAGAGCAGTCAGCAAGATACAGTTATCTTATGCTGTGTGATGTGCTTAACACCCAGAGAAGTCACTGCAGGGCTTCCTAGCCCTATTCTGCACCATCAGGTGAAAGATGATGAGGCTTTTATTTCCCAGGCTGTAGGGTTTTTTTTCCCCCAGGAGGCTATGGATATGCTTTCTAGGGAGGCAGGCACCTTGCATTGCTGACTGCTATTAAAAAATAAAAAAAAAAAATCTAAGAGTACTCCTTGAAGGCTTTTAATTCCAATGACGTTTCAAGATAGTATATTGAGATAATTTAGAGGCCTTCCTTCAAAATTGATATGTGACCACAAATTAAATAAATTAGAAAATGAAGAGTCCTTTTCAAAATGCTGTTCTGTAGCAAATATATATTAGCATGTTAATAATAGGTGAAGTTTTTGCTTTTCTTTCTTTCCTCTGAAAAACAATGCAAGAGGATTTACTGATAAGGCATGCTGAACATGTAAAACCTTTTTTTGTGTACAGATTGGAATTTTTTTATTGGAAAACAAAACACTTGTAATAATTTTTGTTACCGTACATGATTGTTTAAGCTGTATACATTTTTATACTGTGAAATATTGTTGATTTCTGGCTCATTCCCTATCTATTTTAGTAGCTACTGTCCAACTAATCAGTTAGTTGGATGTAGTCAGCTCATTAGCTTTGTGTGGAGGGAGTGGGGAAGAGGATATGCCTGGATTGTCACCAGCTTCTCACTGGAATATAGACATCAGTTGACAAACAGGAGATTTTCTGTCAGAAGACACACTTGATAAACCAAGTATCATCCTTTCCTCCCTCTTAAGTACTTAAGATGCTATTTTTATACTCTTGAAGTAGATAATCACTGCAGAGCAGAAATAGCAATACTAAAATTTAATGTAAAATCACTACGTATAACCTGAAGGTTATGCTCAACCCATGCAGACATCTTCTTCTCCTCTTCCCCGTTATACCCAGACGTGGGCAGTGCAGGGGGAGTTTTTTTCAGAGCCTCCTTTTGCCCCCTGGACCCTGTCTTTGATTCTTATCGCAGGAACAGTAGTGTCCTTCAACCCTATATGCAAAGTTATAATAGGTTTTTAGCTGCCAAATGCAAGGAAAAAAGGGACTGTTCCAGCTTTTGTTACCAGATTTATTCTGTACAGCTCGCTGTAACCCTTTCTGGGTCAACTGTAACTCATACGTGATGCATTTGTAACGATTATTTAAGGGAAAATTCAAAAATCACGCAAAAATATATAGATACATCAGGCAGGGGAGTGGAGAGGAGATGCTGTTTTGCCTGAATGTTAGGTTTATCTCATTTAATGCCCAAAAGGGAAATGGGTGAATCAAGTGGTCCTGCCGCTTTAGCAGCCCCACAGTTACCACTCTGCTCTCTCACTGGGGTAAGGCAACTGCTGTGGCAAGTTCACCTCAACTGAGAAATTAAATGAGTGATTAATTCAGGTCCTCTCTGCCAACCCAGAGGTGTACCACTGCATGTTTACTTTGGCTTTAGGGACACACTAAAATGTTTGGTGGAAAAACTTAATATCGTTAGTATTGTGAGATGCAGACACTGGAATATATTAATATCCATCCATCCCACCAGGCTGTTATTCCTTTCTCTAGATTTATTGCTGTTGTTCTCGGGCCTCAGTGAGTAAAGCAGCGAATGTGAGAAACTTCGGCCTTGTACCAACAACTGACATTTGTATATCTGAGCTCTGTAGGAGAACCTGCAATCCTGTGTAGGATGTATAGGCTTTCTTTGTGTGTGTTTGTGTGCACATGTATACACACATACGATACTTTTGGACCTCAGAAGGGGATTCATAAAAAGTGCTCTTGGGGAATGTCACCCAGAGAGCTAGCAGGGAAGTTGCAAATAAAGGGCTGTGTCCCAAATAGTGTCTGGTGGCTGGATTTGCATGCCTTGATGTGCTCCACAGAAGGATTTGTGTTTCCACTTGTCATTCTCAGCCCTGAACTCTAAGGCAAGCCCATCCCTCCTATGTGCCAGAGTGTTTAAGCTATTAAGTCACAAGCCTTTCTACAGGAAACAGTTGTTGAATGAAATACATAAACAGCCATTGGAGCAGGGACTGCAATCTACATTTTTTCACTTCTGTTTGAGAGCTCTGACCACTGGGCCATAGTCATACTCGCTCGGGGAATATACAGGCTCTCTCATCCCTGAAACGTGTGATCGTTTCATATGAAGTGCAAAACCTTCATGGGAGGGACTGAGCCTCTCCATATCCTGGAATAAACTGTGTGGTGGTGAGGGCACATGCCTGAAAAATGGGAAATGTCATTTTTTACATCAATGCGTTGCCAGGGTGGTCCCCAGCAAGGGAGTTCAGAGTGGCTGTTAGCTGCAGAGCAGAACTTGAGGTGCCTGGCAAGCAATATTGTCAAAAGTGGAAGCAGCAGCGGAGTTTGGGCACTTCCCAGATGAGATGGAAAATGACAGGGTGGTTTGGAGATCTTGGATCGGGACTTAGACTTCTAAAGTTGGAGCTAGATGGAACTTGGGACTTTAATCCTTTTATGCAACTGGCCCCAAATTACTAACCAGTGCTGCCTATAAATTGTTCTTCCTAAAACGTTTTGGGCTGCTGGCCTGATTTTGCAGAAAAGCAGCAGTTTAATGGCTGACAAGAGTATGGGGAGCACACAATGCCCACAGGTCATTAATTCTTGAAGCTGAATTTACTGAGGAGATAATGGATGAAACCTGACTCTAAGCTCTCTGCTCCTTTTCTAGCAGTGTTCAGTAGTTAATTTAAATCTCACTTAGGAACTACTTGTGGCATTAAAAGTCCTCCAGGCATACTCTGGTAAACTTTTTAAAAATATCCCTGTCCAGGATACCATTAAGATATCATGTATCACTTCTGAATTTCCTCTTCTGGTGTTGGTGGTGGCACGGAAGTTGGTGACCACAACTCAGCTTTATTCCAATGAATTGTTCCCTTCTGCAACATTCATTCACCAATGCCAAAACTTAGCTTTCACAGTCTGTCCGCATGGAAAGCGTGTGAGTTCCTTTGTTCCAGCAGCATCACAAAATGACTTAGGTTGGAGACTGATCAGAAGGCAGTTTTTTATTTGTGAACGGAGAGACAAGACTGTAGCCCAGTTTCATACAAGTAAGCATATTGGAATCAGAAGAATTACTCAGAATAATAAGAGTGAACACCACACATGTCATTGAAACTGTCATGCATGGGTACAAAAATGGAGGCATCTTGTTTGGATTGTTCTGGAGTTTGGAAGTTTTTCTGATTGTCAGTTGTTTTACTCTTTCCTTTTGGCTGACCCACTGCATTTACTGATTGAAAAGACCTTTCATGGTGAGATGTGCTTAAGGTAAAAGGATTTTGATTGCATCAGAGGAGCAACTCTATTTAAAACCAGCAGTTGTTGCTTCCTTTCTTGCATTATCATTGCTACCTGCACTTGGTGTTTTCTTGTTTTTTTTTTCTTTTACCCTCCCAGTTTGATGTGTGGGTTTCAAAGCAGTGCCCTTCACGTCATCAGTAGTGTTAGTCTTGGACTAAAACTGATCAAGATTAGCCTTCAGTTTGAAATGCACGTAATTCAGAAAGTTAAAGTGTGGGTGCAATTTTGCACTGACTATTCTTTTGAAAGAGTAGTAATTCAATTTAAAAGTGTTTGTGATAGAAGGGGTTTTCTCCAGTCCTTGTGGAATGTACCTCATTCAGTGTCACTGTACTTCAGGTAAGTTAAAGTAACCTTGCCCTTAAAATCCTGAGATTTTGACATTTGACATCTCTCTTCTTTTTTTCCTCCTCTTTAGAATGTATCATGGCTAGAGGAGAAGGAGAAGGAGGTCGTCAGTGCGTTACGATACTTTAAGACTATTGTGGACAAAATGGCAATTGATAAGAAAGTATTAGAGATGCTGCCAGGCTCAGCAAGTAAGGTACTGGAAGCCATCCTACCCTTGGTGCAAACTGATCCACGCATCCAGCAAAGGTAAGTTCCCTTCTTGGGTTTTGGGATTATGACAGACCAGAAGGCTCCCAGCTTCTCTCCTTCTCATGTCTGAAGAATGACATCGTGCAGGAGACAGGAAATGCTGCAGTGGCTAATAAAGTGACTGCTATTTTTACTAATTATGTGATAGTTTTCGAACATAATTTAAAAGCAGATTCCCTGCTGCGAAGAAACCCGTGCTATGGAAAGATAAAGCAAATCAGAATAGTTTCAGAGAAGAGGAAGGGCTGATTCTTAGCATAAACTCTGAAATTCATCATTTAGTAGTGGGAGATTCTCCTCAGATGCTATACTGTTTCTGCAGTCCATGCTGGTATCCTAAGAGCTAACAAATCCAATAGCTTTTACCTGAAAAAGAGTTTATCTTCAGAGTAATCCCTTTTTGTGTTCAGTTTATCCACCCTGATATTAGAGAAGTCTGAGCCTGCACTCTTAACTGCTTTTTTTTTATTTTACTGGATCAGATACAGAAGAGAAGTAAACAGATGTACTTCAGTAGATTAACCAGTCCAAATTCATTCCTGTGCGCTCTCAACAGATTATTTGTTTTATGTTTTAACAGATTGTGTGTATTATGTTTTAAGCAGTTAGACAGCGGGTTTGAAGCCAGAAAAGAAGTAGAAATTGCCAAAGCAAAGCTCAGCATGGATTGTAAGAATTTGTGGAGGTCTCGAGCCATAGAGATATAGCTGCTGTTCAACCTTTAGATGCTGGAGTAATTGATTTACACAAAACAAGCAAGCATCGTTGAATGACATGGAAAGAGCAAAATTAGCACAGAGAAAAGCACAAAACTAGGCAGAGAAATGCAGGTGTTTGGTTCCTGAAATCCTGCCAGTGTCTGTGCTGTTCCTATGTGTTTTCCCATTAAGTATCTCCAAAATTTTTGGTTCAAGATGCTTGTTTCAATTCTGGTGCAAGAAAGGTTTATAGTATGGTCAAGACAGCAGTAGGGTGCCAAATATTTTGCAGAGATGCTTAGCTGTGTTTGGCCCTAATGCATAGGCCAGGGTTGTATCCGACAGTACAAAATGAAGGAGCAATGGGTGAGTATCAGAGCTGTGGCTGTGACAGGAGAGATCCAATTTAGGTTATATCTGTAGAACTACAAAGAGCAATAGCTGTTAGAATGGGAACATTCATCAGGCTTCTGGATACAGACACAAAAATTTCTTCAGTTGCTATCAGGTTTCCCACAGCCATTAAATTCCTGACAAGCACCTGCTTTCATTTAATGAAAGAAAGAATGACCTTCCCCATTACACCAGGAGAACATGTAAAATGTCAGCAAATATTTTCAGGATAGAACATGTCATCTTTATAGTTACTTGCTTTGATTTTTGTATCCAGTGGATGTTCGCTGAGTGATCTTTTCTTCCAAGAATTTATTTGGGAATAAATAACAACTAAGCGGTCTTCAGCAGCAGCAGTATTTCAGACAGTTCTGTTCTTCAAATTCCTTATACCTTCTCTCTTAGTAGTGAACTAATGCAACCTTGACAGTTGGTTATCCATTGGTTGATATCCGTATTTACCCATAGAAGCAGAACTTCCATAGTAGCCAGTGAAGTGATAAGTCTTAGTGATACATAGTGATAAGTCTCTCTTTCTGGAAATGCTATGTATTACAGCACACATCCCGTATGTATGTTCTGCCTTGTTTAGCCTCTACAGGAAAAAATGGGGTCTAGCATTCTCAAAAAGCCATGTCCTTTCGTGCCTACCTATGCACTTTATTTAATTTGAGTAGTGGCAGGACACAAAGGGGTGATTTTGATAGTAAATCCCCCTCAAGAAAAGTGAGCAAGACTTGTGTCAGTGTGGAAGAAAGCCCTACAATTATTGTTGGACTTCTTTTTGCTTTAGGGGAAGCATTTGCATCAAGGAAAAAAGTAATTAAATCTAGCACAAAATGGGCTTTCAATTACCGCCTCCTTAGAAGGAAGCAGACTGAAGATTAATGGCAAAGAAATCAAAGCCTTAGAAAGAGATGGGGGAGGGCCCTATTTAGGAAATATCTCCTACCAAGCTAATTTCATTTGAAATTAGAACAAATGGCAAGCAGCATGCTTTAAAACAAAAACAAAAAAAAACAACAACCAAACAAAAAAGTACTTGCCATTGTTTGTATCCCCCTAGTTGTAACTTGACAGTAGTTCTTTCCCCAGTCCTGCAAACCTCATTTACCTAAATAATCTCATTGAAGCTTGTGGGCTTGATTCTCTCACGCAGATAATGAAATTACTGGAGTTAAGCCAGTGTAAAATGGATACCAAAGAGAAATGGGAAGATTTGGAACACTTGTATAAGTAATGATTGCGAGATTACACCTTCTCTTATCTGTTTATGGGTTTGATGCAGTTTGAAATTGATTTAATTTTACAAGGAATTGTTGAAGCACTGCCATCAGCAGTACTGTTAACACACCTTGTTTAGTAATGAAGTAAGTGTTTTCAGAATGGCCAGGAAAATGCCTGTGAGCACTGTTGTTACAGTTAACTTTTATTTAGAGTTGTCATCCTTCCAAAATTCTTTTTTTTTTCCCCTTCAGAACAATAGCTTCAATTCTGTTTCTCATTAAAAACAAAACAAAGCAACACCCTTCCTCTTCCAAACCTTAAATTCATTCAGTTCAATTTCTGTAAAGAAGCCGGTTTTAATTACATATTTTCAGGCATTATAAACAGTGAGGAAATGATTTGTAAAGGAATGAGTATAGTCAGCTCGCAATTATCCAAGATATTTTTGGGGAGAGTTAATAAGGAAGAAGGAAATCATAGCTAATACTGAAATAACATAGCTTAGACTTAAATACAGGACTTAAATATTTACCTTTGAAGTTAAAGCATAGGATGGAGCTGTAAATTAAAATGGAAAGCACATTCTTTTTAGCATGGCTGTGTTAACCTGCAGCCCAGGTAGTTCATTCTGTTAACTGAGACTGAACTGTTGATAGTACTGTTGTCCCATTTGGTGCTGGAGAGCAGGAGAGCAACTGCAGCAGCAGAGAAACCCCGGCTTTGTCACCTGTTAAACACAAATTCTGAATGTCAGAGAGAAAAGGAGAACAATCATATTTTTAACAGTGTGAAATGCACTTTAAATCAAGCACTCTCATAACATTTGACAGTATAATTTCATTTTGTTCTTTTTTCTCAACTATTTCCTCCCCTGCCATCCAGCTCTGCCATCTCGTCCTGCTATAGCCGTGTGTACCAGAGTCTGGCCAATCTAATTCGCTGGTCTGATCAAGTGATGCTGGAAGGTGTGAATTCAGAAGACAAGGAGATGGTGACAACAGTGAAGGGTGTCATAAAAGCTGTTCTGGATGGAGTCAAGGTACATGAGACAAGTATTGTAAATTATATTATATAAAGTATATAATAATGTATTTTAAAAGAGGTCTAGTTGCAAGAGGTGTTTAAGTGCAAGTAAAATATAAAGATCCTATTCTTGCCTTCAGTAAACTAACTCTTAAATCAACTGCTCCATAAGCAAAATGATCCTCCTTGGAGTGCTGGTTAAAGACTAGCACAAATGGTTTGGCTATCAGTGTGCACTTCTGAAATGCTCACCCTGGCATTTGGATGAATTGGAAGAAGCAGTAAATCTTTATTGAGCACTGTATTAAATTTTCAGCAAGTAATCCCAGTCCCCTATGCAGATTAGAAGGCAGAGTTTGCATATTTTCTGTCCAGGCAAAATATAATGGAAATGCTTCCTGTCAGTGCCCACAGAGAATCAAAGACTCCAGCTCCATCTTTTAACATAATTTCAAGAGATTTGTCAGTGATACATCACTGCTTTCAGCAGTCATATTAGGGTGTGGGACAGGTGATGAGCTAATCTCAGTTTTCTGGAGATTAATTTTACATAACTAATGGAAACATTTAACAGAAACCTTTGTATCCTTTGTGAGACCTGCTTATAGCATTCCCTCCCTACCCCACCCAGGGAATGCTGTTGACTTTCCTTCTACCTCCCCATAAGCTTTTTGGTACCCATTATTTCTGTTTCCCAGGCTTGTCTCTGGGCTGACGGCCGTGGAGGTTGTTCATTTGGCTGTACTAGCACTGCAGTTAAAAGTTTGCTTGACCTGGCCTCAGTGCACCCGCAGAGAGACCGTCATATCTCCTGGGAATCTTATTTTGAAAACTGTAGAGAAAGTTAAGCCTCTTTCAACAGCAGGGCTGAATCTAAAGTGGAATGTTTAGATCAAGTACAGAAGGAAAGTTGGCTTGGTGTTTTAAGAACTGCAGCAGGTATTTCACCTGGATTAGTATATCAGGAACAGGCATCTTTCACTGTACTCAAACTCAGCTTAGTTTTTGTTAACTGGAGCTGAATGCAAAAATGAAGTGGATCTCCCAAGCTTTGGCTATCACGTTTTCAGGAGTCTTGGTGTGCTGTTTGCATGGTCTGAATGTCTCTTTAATGTTACTCAAACACAGATACTAAAATCTACTATTACTTATTGAGCCTTTTAAACAAATATCTTTGAATCAAAACATTACCTTCACTTAAAGAAGACAGATTTTTCCAGGATTATTTTGCACAATATGCCCTTTAACTTCAAGCTCCAGATGTGAAAAGTAAAGCCGGTCTTAAATTCGCACAGCGGGATAGAGAAAAAGGGTTTAGCCTAAAGTCTCAGCTGCTGTTAGCGTTGGAATTCAGCAGCAATTTACAGTATGTGAAAATCTGCGCCGTGGTATCTGAACTGTAATACCCCAGCAAATAGCAAGGCAGTTCACTCTGTTTTCACTTAATGAATCTGCACAATCCCGTGGAGAGCCATGTTATCACCAGATCCAGGATAGAGTTGTGTAGTCTCATTGCATGAAGCTCGGACACCCACTGTCCTTTCACTTCAAGCAGTATTTAAACCCCCGGTACCTGTTGCCTTCCAGCCCAAGTAGCATGCCTGTGCGGATGGGTGGAAGGTCTCGGATGCCGGCTCTGCCCACGCTGCGAGCCAGCCTCGGCTGGAAGCGATGCAGGCATGTCCGTACAGTGCTGAGCCTGAACTATTAAGCCCCGCTGTGCAGCATGGCTATATCATCTGTACTTTGCTGTTAGACTAAAAGTTATTTTGGCCTTCCAGTTGGAGCTGGCTTATGTCTGGTCAGCTTGGAGCATGGTTAGAACAGATGTGTGGCTGTCTGGGTAGATGCGAATGTGTCTGCCCATCAACAGGTCAGCATTTGGAAGCGGTGTGCACTCATCTCCTACTGCATAGCGAGGAACAAGGTTTATTTTAGAAGGACCAAGCCAGCTTTCAGATCTGGAAGCAGAACTGAGAAGTTGGACACTTCTCTGCTGTGGAGAGCCTTTTTTGTTTTTCTGGCAGATCACACAAGATCCACTTCCACATTTCAGTGCTTACTTCCCCCTTTATTTTCAGAACTGAGCATAAAGGAGTCACTTGTTCACTTGTGTTGCTTGCTGTTTTGATCTCAGGTTTTAATGCCTTGCTAGGCATATATAAAAAGAAAAAGAAATAATCCTTGGTTTGATTACGTAACTTCTTAAAAATCCATCTCATTTTGGAATTTCCAGCTTGCTGAAGTAGCATAAGTTTGTAGAGAGGCTTTAATTATCTCTAATTACTGCTGCAGGAATCTCTTTACTTGCTGATAAGGAATAGCATAATGTGCATCTGGCTCGGTTACGTGCTGATTACCTCTGTGTGTATACTAAAGATCTTGGCTTGATTTTCAAATGCTGGTTCTGATTTTGGGGTTAGTAGAGAGGAGAAAAAGTCAGGGTTCAGGGGATCTGGTGATATTTGTCAAAGTTTAGAGAAAAAAGTGATCCTCTTGAGTATTGGCAATCATACGATGTCTTGGTGTCTCTAGTCAGAGGTGTTTTAGGTTTTTTTTCACAGCCACAATAATTTGAATCATTCTAAAGGTACTTTTGAGCCAAATTTGATTGTTTTTCTCCCCTGTTGTAACCTACACTCCCATATGGTGGACGGGCAGGTGTCCATTACGACTGGCAAAATAGGAAAACCGAGCTCTTCAGCCCCAAGTGTCGGGGGCTCATCAGCACGGCTGTGGCATAGCTGCCACCACCAGTCTGCAGCGCTGGCCTTGGTTTGGTTTAAGGTGTTAAACGTGGTGAAGAAAGGTGAGGAAAAGGAGATGTTACACTTTCCCTTCCATAGCCCTTTCAGGGGGATGTTTAAAGAGTATTTTGGCCTTTGGTTTGAACGCCCATGTATTTTATTTCCCTTACTGTGCTCTTACACATTGTGAGAAGTCACTGTTCTTGCTGGCGAGTACCTGATGGCCCCACGGGGTCCGACACTGAGTCCGTTAAAGTGTATGAGAGTCTCCAGAAACCTCTTCAGCGGTGGAAGTTTGTCCAGAGGGCAGGAAGGTGGCAATCCGTTGTGTCATCACACACTCCTGATGGTGACTCGGAGCATGGTGTCAGCTGCAGCCAGAAGAGTCAAATGGTGTCACTGTGTAGTCTCCAAATCGTCCAATTTACAGAAGAGCCTTGTTAGGGGTTTGTAGGTCTTACGGTTGTTTTTCCTAGTGATGTTCTGTAGACTCTATAGGGGAATTTCTGAAGTCTAAAAGGAATAGCAAGTTTTTAATTAAAGATTGTTCATCCTGAAAGAGAAGATGAAACAGAGGAAAGTACATTTTTTAAAAATAATTTCTGTTGAGTAACTAGGGACACAGCAGAGAAGTCTGAGGTCAGTTCAGTGTCTGTGTTACCACCGTAGTTCTTCTGTGATTGAAGGGCCTTAATTATTTTACTTTTCTATATGCTGTGTAACGTACATTACCACAGTAAAGCTGTCGGCCTGTCGCTCCTTGCAGAGTATTTCCTCTCTGGGGGACATGGCCCTCCTTGGAGGTGGGAGCTGGCCAGGCTGGTCGGCTGTGGTCAGGTTGGTGCTGTGCTTTTTCTCATCAGGGCGCATCTTGGAACATACTGTTCCTCGCCAGTGCTCTTGTCCGTCTGTCCCAGACAGGAACATCTTCATAGCATTAGCCCGCATGGACATCTGTTTGTGCTCGCTCTTCTTTCCCCATGTATGGGTTTCTAGGACAGCTTCTGGAAAGCTGAGTGTTTTGTCGTGTTTTTGGTTGACACGGTGTACGTTATTTTTGAGCACAAGCTCAGACCAGTAATGTAAGTGGAACATTGAAACCAAAATCAGCTGTGGGGGACACTTGGACTGCCTCTGCCGTCCTTTGCACATCCAGTGCAGTACTTTATTCCTGTTGTTGTGTGTGTGTTAACCCATGGAAGTTCAGCTTTAAATAGAACCTTATATAAAATTACAAGAACTAGAATATTTCCCTTCCTCAGAAGGATGATGACGACAACATTCCAGTTGCAGTTAATGCATTGAGAGAGCAATGACAGTTGTTTCCAAGCTCAGCAGGCATAGACATGAAGATGATACTGGAATGATGACACTGTACTTCAGGCTGCTTTAAAAAAAAAAAACTAAAAAATTGATCCCGTATAGTTTCCTTTGCATAATATGCTGGGAAGCCAATACTGTCAGGAAGCACTGCCAGTTTTCCAGCCTGCCTATAAGAGGGCATGTGTTTGTATCTGTGAGCAGTAGATCTATTTGTCGGCCTCAGACATCCATAAAATGTTCTCTCCATCTTTCTGGCATGAATGATTGTTGTTTTGACTGCTGGCAGATTTGTAGCTCAGGATTATCATGCCCTTATCTCTTTATCCAGAGCCTTATCTGCCTATAACAGATACACTACAGTAGTTCCTTGAATGATTAAGACTTCCATTGCTAACATGTTAAAAGATGGCTTCAGGGGAAGCAGGCCTTTTAATAAAGGTGTTCACTATTTAATTTGTTGTTGGGCATCTTACAGAAAACTTGCTTTTTGAAACAAATGTATATTTGTTTATAAAATATAAAATAATTATTTATTTTTTTTACTGGCTAGGTGAAGTACTCCACTGTGTAAGACTTTTCTGTACTTACATTTATGTATGTAAAGTGAATTTGCCATTATCTAGGGTGTTGTGGGGACTGGAACGCATTTGTGACCATAGAGGAAAGAGGAAGCACGGCAAAAAGACACGTATGTGGGTTTGTGCTGAATCCCCATAGGGACAGGGTTTCTGAACTTAACTCAAATATTCCTAAACTACTGCTGGGTGCACACTGCTCTTTAGAAGCAGTGCTGCATCATTTGTACAGCTCTGTGTCAGACTTACACCCAGCTCAGCTCTCTCTGTGTCCGTGCCATCATTAATCCATAAACTGGGTAACCAAGAGTTTACTGCAGTAGCATCCTTTTGTGTCCTAGGATGTTTGAGTGCAGCATTCAGCAAATAATGATTATTGTCTTTTTCTTCTCTCCTCTCCATCCATCAGGAGCTGGTCAGACTCACAATTGAGAAGCAGGAGCATCCCTCTCCTACAAGCCCAGTTAAACCCAGTTTACCAGCATGTAAATCTGACAGGTGGGTCACTGACAAGGATTTCTTCTGTGTGCAGCACTAATATAGAAGGGGTAATTTCTGGCTACTGATAGTTGAATTAAAGCATTCAGTTATTCTTCACAGAGGGTAGCATAGTGTTCTTCACGTAGCCTCATCCATTACAGCGGGACCACTTAAAGAGACTATGCAATGATAGGGAAGATGCCAAAATCTGGCAATGAAACATCACCTGGCCATGACATGTGCACATTGTATTCTGCATATACGTGGAATTCCACCTGCAGATGCAAATTCTGCCTTCTGCTGTAGGCATGCCTCATATTGCATATGATTTAAAATACATATTAATCTGTCAGCATGCTGCATTCCAGCTGTGGTTTATGATCTACAATCTGTATTTTGCTTGTTGCAGCCCATCAGAACTTCCCCTTACAGACCGAGAAATGGAGATCCTCAACAAAACAACTAATATGACTCAATCCAGTGAGCTACTGACTGACTCCATGGATGAAGAAGTTGCACCTCCTAAACCCCCTCTGCCTAGCATTCGTGTGGCAGAAAACAGGTAATACTGGCCAACCAGCTCACTGAAGAATACCAGTGGCTCTTAACAGCTTCTTGTTTTTTTACACAGTCTTGCAAAATGTGCACAAGAGAGGTCATGAGGAGGGTTAGTGATGCCTCTGAATTTCCAGTCCTCCAGAGTAATTCTTCCCTGCTCCTGGACTCTGTTTATGACTTTGTGTTCTCTCTGTCTTGTTTTGAGCAATACCCTTCATTATTTGTGTTTTCCTTTCCTTCTTTTTATGTGAGGATAGTGCTATGCCCTGAGATCTGTGCATGAGAGGCATCGCATAAATGCTTAAGAACCTTATTTAAAACTACGTGAATACCAGAAACAGTGTCTTGTGCTGTTGTATCCAACGGGAAGTGTTCTGCTAACCTCACCTGACAGTTGTCAACCTGTGCTGCAACATGCAGGTTGTTCTGCATTGCTTATCAGCTTAAAGGGTGAAAGGAGCCAATAGTGCATGAAAAAAATCTTTTACTTGGTTGTTCTTACCCTGCTCTGCGAGTAACCACATGAAAGTTTCTATGTTCTATTTTGAGAAGGAAGAGAAAACCCCCAATTTGCAGGTTTTTGGTCTGTGTGTATGATGTTTTTCTTCTCTAGTACTGGTGCTAATGGATGGTGTGAAAAATACATATCGTGTGCTAATTTGGCAGTGCAGCATCAAGGGCTGTGGCTGGCAAAAAGAATCACATTTCTATGTATTTTATGAATTCTTGTGGGTTATATAAAAATTTCCTGATATGTTCCAGGAACAGAATATGTGTGCTCTTGGGAACCTTGCAGGCTTGATGGTTACCAGAATTATGTGTCATTAGAAGCAAAAACTAAAAGTACAGTGGTTAAAATCTCACTAGTTACTGCTAATGTGTGTATCTGAAACCGATTCATGCCAGAACATGGGCCCTCACAGTGTACATGGTGAGAGCAACACTGACCATCTTGTTCCCTGAAGTTTACCGGGAGAGTAAAAGGGCAGAATAGGAATTTTCCTGTCCTGTAAATTTTTGAAACTTTGAACATTTTTCAGACCTGGAAGGTTTGAGGAGGGACTTCTGTGAATGGAAACAATATTTGGGTCAACCAAAACATTTAATTTGGATTTTCACCACTTTTATTAAGAAATAATTACCGTGCTAATTAGCTCCATTAAAAATTATCTTTAAAACAGCAATTGTTTTTGTTTGAGGAATACCAACTCTTTTCCAACCTTAAAAAATAAAACACTGAACAGGACCATATCTGTGACAGTGTTCCTCAATTGGTATTTGTTAGTGGATACACTTTGCTGAATAGCTCCTGGCCAGCTTTGGACAAGAACCTGTGAGCTTTGAGCCTGGCAAGTCAAAGGCTTTCTGGAAAACAAGCTCATGAAGCCTCTAAAAGTGTTTTTGCTGGAAGAGTAATGGAACCATCAATGCCTGTTGTGTCTTGCAGCCCTCCACCAGCATTGCCCCCTAAAAAACGGCAGTCAGCACCTTCCCCAACCAGAGTGGCAGTTGTGGCCCCCATGAGTCGAGCCACCAGTGGGTCCAGTTTACCTGTTGGAATCAACAGACAGGTAATGGCATAACCCCTTTGTGAAAGCCAAGGGAAACGTGCTGTGAACTGTGGCAAAAGCTGGGGAGAAATGCCGTGACCTGCAGCCGCGCGGTTCCCTGCACGCCTCTGCTTGTCCCAAGCAGCCCTGTACGGGAGAGCTCTGGAGCAGGAGTTTTAGTGGCAGGAACATCAGTATAATAAACCATATGAACAGCTTAATTTTTTTTACGGTGTTGTTGGATCTAATTAACAAATTGCTACAAACTTTGTTGCCTTGAGCTGTAGCAGAGTGCGAAGATTCCAGCGGTTGAGTGTTGCCATGTCAAATAGATCAGTGTACAGAGCAGCTGGCTGAGCTTACCAAGATCTCAGCAAGGTTTACTTACAGGTCAAGGGAGCATGTGGCATATTGAGATCAGAAGCCTGTCTTCATCCAGTCACAATTTAAAACACCTTTTAACCCAAACAGTAGTTTGAGCAACTGCTCTGACCACTACTGGTGCTTTGGGGAAATCTGTAAATTTTCTGGTAGAAAAATGGAAAACTTGTGTGTGTTAATCATATACCATTGCTTGTGCAGTTGTAAGTGGCTGGGTTTGCTTTACACTTTGAGGACCTTACTAACTCAGCAGTGAGGATCTGATTCATATTAAATTGCACCAAAATCAAATCTTGTCCTCATCCCCAAAGCCTCAGCTCTGGCTTAGGGAGGCTCTGCAGTCGTTTGGCTGACCCAGATAAAGTTGTGGCAGTTCTTCAGTTGCTAGTACAATCACACTTAGGTTGTTTTGCAGGAGTGGGAATACTTGAGGGGTTCACTTGGAGGTTGATAAGCTTGAGGTAATTTCCAAAATAGAAATGTAGTCATAGGCACAGAAAGTTGTATCTCACTATAGCTTATTTTCCCTTTGCGTGCACCTAAGCTAACAAAATATTTGCTAACGCCCCAGTTATTTAATGAGAAATCTTGCAGTCTGGTTACCTAGTATCACTGTCTTGACAAGGAGTCATCAGATGTGTGTAGCGGGGAGGAACTCGGTTATCTTGTCGGTGTCTGTGAAGTCCAGTGTGGGTCACAGCACGCCCTGCCGGGAAGCAAGAACACACAGAGCTCCCTGGCATGGGCTGTTGACCAAATCAGAGGTTTTCTGTGGTCCTGATGAGCTTGTCTAACTAGAGAGGGCTAGCAGCACTGATCCTCTCCCCTCCTGGTTTTCTTAATGCAGCTGTGAGGTGTTTGCTCCTTGAGCTGCATCTTGCTTGCTAGCGAGCTGCCAAGAATGACAATGAATTGATTTTTTTGCTTAAGGATTTTGATGTTGACTGCTATGCCCAGAGAAGATTGTCGGGTGGAAGCCACTCCTATGGGGGGGAATCTCCTCGCCTCTCGCCATGCAGTAGCATCGGCAAACTCAGCAAGTCTGATGAGCAGCTCTCCTCTCTGGACCGCGACAGTGGTCAGTGCTCCCGCAACACAAGCTGTGAAACATTAGGTAAGCAGGGGGCTGTCCAGTGTGACTGGAAGAGCCCCCTTCACTCTCGTTTGGGAGCTGTCGTAGCTGTGATGCAGAAGTAAATGGATTGCGCTTGCAACTGTCATCTTGTAGTTGCTGCAGGCAGTTCTGTGCAGAATTATATTCTGTCGGATAGGAAAAAGCCCAGGGGAACGTGTTTCCCTAGCTATAGATGATTGTGTTAAAACTCAATTCAGCTCTCAAGTGGAATGTTTTGTTGGTTTCAGCCTTGTCTGAAGCAATGACAGCCCTGGTAGATTAAAGCAGTGTTGTTTCTAAGTACTAGGAAAGAAAATTAAAATATAAATACGAAACATAAATAATCTCTCCAATGATCTACCTATTGCGTTTTTGTTATTTGTTTGCTAGTGTAAAGAAATAATTATAAGCGTTTTATTAAGGCTGGATGCTACAGAAGGTGTAGCAAGACGGTCCCTTCTGCAAGAAAGTACTGCTCTGATTAAATGAACTGATTAATTAACTGATGGAATGGGAGGGGCAGAATTGAGAAGGACTAAACAGTAAAAGAGAGAAACTAATGCATCATTCTCCTGTCCCCTCTGTTTAACCAGATCAATCGGATCACTATGATCCGGACTATGAATTCCTGCAGCAGGACCTCTCCAATGCTGATCAGATACCTCAGCAGATGCCAGGTATCCTCAGCCCGTTGCCAGAGTCCTTGGGTGAGTCTGGCTCCCCTTTCCATGGACATGCTTTCCAGCTCCCACAGGGCAGCTCTCCTCCACTGGAATTCTGCAGCCTCTCGGGAGCAGCACAGCCGACAGAGACTCCTCCAGCTTTACCAGAAAAGAAGAGAAGGAGTGCAGCCTCTCAGACTTCAGATAACTCAGGCTGCAGGGTGTCCTATGAGAGGCACCCATCTCAATATGATAACATCTCAGAGGATGACATGCAGAATGCAGCGTCTGTCCCATCAGTATCCTTCACGCCATTTGCTGCTGTTTTGCCTTTCCAGCAAGGAAACTCTTCAGCACCGGTTGAATTCATTTCTGATTTTGCTGCTCCAGATACTAACAGTGACCCAGAGAAGCCACCACCTCTGCCAGAGAAGAAAAACAAACACAGTAAGCAAGTTCTTGTTTGGGTTTTACTTTTACCTTTCCCTTTCTTTGCAGTTGTCGTGCTTCTGATGACCACTAAGTAACGGTGACCCCAATGTAATGCCTTTGCTTACATGAGGCTGAGTGTCAAAAACAGTTACTCAATGACAAAGGCGTGGAAGGGAAGTGTCAGTCCTTTGGCAGGCTGGGAGTGACTCCTGGAGCCAGGAATGATCCAGGCCCAGGGGAGCTGCATTACACAGCATCTTCACTACTGTAGTGAGACCTTTTTACTTCTCTGTTTACCTGAGTGTGAATCTTTGAGGCACTCTGCCTTGCAGATCTTCCTGGTTTATCCTCCTTTTTTACGTCCATTCATTCCCCCCGCCCCCATTTTGTGAATGTTTTCCCATTGCAGAAAAGAATTGGGTGCTCTCCAAGAGCTTGGAGAAAGGGCTGCTTTTCTGTCCAAAACCAAGCATTGCCAGAGCAGTTATTTGGCAATAGGAACATAGTCACCCACATAGCTGTGCAAGACAACACTATTAACCTAGTGTCCAGTACTGCTGTTTTGCTACAGGATCTCATTTTCTTTGGATGCCTAAGAATTTCCCACATCGTTAAAATGAGCAGCCTCTAAATGTGAAGGCTCACCATCCCCAGCCAGACTCCTGGCACACCAGTACTGACTGCAACTCAAGCTCATGACCTTATTCTGATTTCCATAATGTTCATGGCTGAAAACATGTGAAACCTCTTGCCAAAAGAGCAGCCACACTGATCTGCCAAGGAAGGCTGTGGACTACATAGTGAGATCCAGCAGATGTTAGTTTACTAGTCACTGGCTTGCTTTGCAGTTCTATGTTGCACAAGGAGGCAGCATATACAAGATCTGGATCAACAGTGTTACGTTGTATGGCTGGCAGCCCAAGTGAAGAGCTGATTCAAAAGTGCTGAGTTAGCCTTCTGACTCATTTCTGCAGTATATAGTCTTTTCACTGAGAATAAGGTGGAAGTGAGATTGGTGTGTCATGCGGCAGGGTCAGTATTCCGTCCATTCCTATGGTAGTGCACTGTGCTAGCCACTTTTTAAAAAAAGTACGTTGGCTAAAAGGATTTCCATTATCCCTGAATGACCAGTCCACATTCATAACCCTCTGGGATTTCACTCAGAGCACAAGGCTTGACCCACCTGAAAGTGATGGTCATCTTGTGTAGTTCAGTGTCCCCATAGGCAGGAAATCACTGTTGTCCCTCTCTGGTAACCAAGCAGTTAAAGGTAGTGAAAGCAGCTAAATAGGAGCAGAGATGTTTGTTTGTAGACAACAGAAAGGAAATAAATGCTAACACAGGGCATAGCCAAGGTTGGTTGTTACAGCTTGTGCTGTTCGAAATACTCGCCTGCAGCACCAGCTGCAAGGGGGTGTGATACAGAGCCTCCTTACTGTAGGATCAGGTCCTTGTGGGCTCTGCATATTAATAATGAAGGCTGGGTCCAGGTGGTTTTACACCATGCAGACTGGGATGGATGCAGGGGAGTGCACCTCCGTACACGTAGGCAGCTTTAGTAGAGGGAGGTGCCTGGGTGAATCTTGGATAAGAGGCAGTTTGACAGTTGAAAGAGAGACCTGGGCTGTTTGCTTTTCTCTTTAAGCCCCATGCCTTTGTTTTCTGTTATCATATGTCATGTCAGGGAGTTACTTAAAAGTGATTTTAAAAGCTATCTTCTCCATTATTGGCCATGCAGTTTTAACCTCAATACCAAGGCCTTGTATGTGAATTTTCTTTGATCTTAGAGTTAATTGTCATCTGTCATCTGGCACTATCAGAAGCTCTTGGAGTATTGATCAGATTGCATTGTTAGGAAAGGTAGAAGCTGTGGCCTAATGTGGTGTCAGCTCTGATGGTTTGATAAAGCATCCTTGCTGCAAAGCTTGTAGTAGTATTTGGGCTGGTACCTGACTGCTGCGGATTTTTTAATTGCATTCATGTGACACTGGGAACTTGTTTTAGATTCTCTTTACTCCACAGTATATCACACCGCAGATCTGTGGTTGTTAGTTTTACTTTTATTTTCAGCATTAAAGGGCAGTAAAGCATTACTCAGGCTGTATGGTAGCACCCAGGATTTTTTTGCCTGGAGGCTGATGCATGTAGATATCCTTGTGTAATCACATAGGTGAGGCAGTGCTGCTTCCACAACCCCAAGAAACTCCAGGGATCCGGAGGAGATGCATGAATTTATTAAAAAGATCTAGAGCTCACACAGATGGGACTCGGTTGTAGTCCCTTTGTTGTGGGTCATCTTTTAGTAGTTGGCAGGAAATGTTGCAGCAGAGACTTTGATGGTCTTTTTATTGGTAGTGTACAGCAAATCCTGCTTGAGTTAACCATGTGTATTGCTGTGAGCTGTGCTCAGAGGGACCTCCAAGAGTTGACTTCTGTATAATTTAAACAGAGTAGTGATAAGCCTTTTAGTCTGGCATGAATTATTGTTATTTTACTGTGCTGTAAGAGTACATGTTACTGTGCTAAGGGCAAATTACTCTAGACTTCTGCTTGAGCACCAGCATTGTGCTCCTGCTGTACAAGACACAGACACGGAGCAGCTTCTGCCATGAAGAGCCCAGAGACAGAAATAACAAGATCCACCCCACAAACAGCTTGGAAACTAGTGGTGAGGCACTTATTCATGTTTCTCTCCCTGTCAGTGGGAACAAAATGCAGCCTGGTGCCCTGTAAGCAGCTGGTATTTAACTGCAGGAACCATGCTGAGGGCAGTCTGGGCTTAGCCAGTGGATAATGCGAGCTCTTTGAAAAACAGCTCTCCTCCCAGAGGTGACAGCAAAGACTGGCTTATTTGACCTTGACTTCTCCAGTGAGTTGATGTGCAGTATAGCTCAAGAATTTCTGTCTTTTTGGCTCTTGCCCATGCACACAAATCTGTTGTGCTTGTGCAGGGCCAGTTGTAACACAGGCTGCTGACACAGTGCCAGGAGTTGGGCTAGACCTTCAGTGAGTTCTCCACATCAGATACTACTATGCCTTACCTATATTGGAGATGTGCCTTATTGCTGATAATCTAGCAATTCCTTGTAGACTCAACAACCACTGGTCCAAGGGTGTTTTCCTGAGACGAGATCGCTTGCCACTTTCCCACAGCCAAGTGCTGCTTCCAGGACCAGTGGCTGCACGACGAGCTGGCTCGAGTGGTGCTGGTGCAGTCTGAGCAATACCTGTGACTTCTACCATGTGGGCTGAACTGGTGCGTGCTAGAAATCCGTGAGCAACTTTAGCTCCTTCAGAAATGACAGCCAAGGCACTGCAAGCAGATTGCTGGGAAGGTGTTCCTAGCCTCAGTCTGAGATTTTATGGGTTTTTTTTTATTTCAAGTATTTTCTGTCTGGGTTCAGAACTGACATAAGCTGGGCATGTGGTGGGAGAGGTTTCTCTCTCACGCCTCCCTTCTCTCCCGGGGTGCTGCCTTGAGACTGTATCACTCCACCCTGGCTGCTCACCCTGGAGGTTGCAGCCCCCATCCCTCCCTCTGCACAGTCGCTGCAGGGTGTGCAGCCTGATCTGAGCTGGTGATGTAATTTCCCATCTGCTTTTTAAACTTCTGCCTTGTTAAAAACCACAGCAGAGAGGGGAAGGGATGGAGGGAGAGCGAGGAGAGAAGACCCTTTGCAAACAGCATTCTCAGGAGTGGTCCTGCTCCCTTACTCTGCTGTTCAAGATTGGCAGCATTTTAATGATGCCCATTTTAATTTGCACTCTGCAGTCTCTACTCCTGAGCCAGGTTTGTATTTCACCATCCCAACTGTTTTTCACTTCACCTAAAAACAGAGAGGAAGACAAAGCAGAAGCAGAGACATGCTAACCAGCCCTGGACTAGTTGTAACAAGCAAGGCAGGGGAGCTGCCATGATGATCGGATGCATTAGCCTTATAAAGAGCTGCGATAAAAGAGCTCTTCATTATTCTGTTGCAGATTGAGTTAAGGCTCTCAACAGCATTCAGGCATACTACCTTGAGTTACAGTAACTTAATTTTACACAAGTGCCTAATGTGATAGCCTTTTCACCAACACTTCCTGAGTGGTAGTGTCATACAGACATCTGAACCCAGGAACTCACAGCTATCAATCCTGAATGTTGTCTTCAGATCTGGATGTTAAGAGAAGCGCTGTTTTTGTAGGTAACCCCACGTAAAGGGCTGGTCTGAATTTAGCAACGTCTGTTGCATTATACCAGTACTGCCAAGCCTGACTTCTTGGCTTTTCTCCTACTCAGTTGATGAGCTCTCAAAATGTGGTCGTTTCCCTCGAGCTCTTGTCCTCTACACTTCTCCAAGGAGTCTTGATCCTTAGTTCCCTTTTGCTGCTAGAGAAATATCCTTTCATAAGCCTTCTTTGTATCTTATCTTCTGAAGTTGTTCTGTGATACCAAGGCATTTTTCAGGGCACGGGTATTAATAGGAGCACCTTAGTCAACTGCATCGCTGATATTTGAAAACAGTATTTTAGCATTCTGTATTTTCTTCACCAAGACTCCTTCAGTATGATTTCAAATAAGAGAATATTGCCAGAATGTGCTTCTTTTCACTGTTAGGCTGAAATTCACATGCATGAGCAAATTTAATCTTGGCTTTAGCATGAGTGCTGACACCAGCAGATGAGCTGGCACAAACATGCACCAACACGCATGTGCATTCAGTTTGAAACCTCTGTCACACTCCCTTCAAGGAGAGGTCTGAACCAGCAAGGGTGGTGACTTACATCTGTGAAGTGGTGCTGGAAAGGCAGGAGGGCAGCTGGGGGAGGAAGAGGAGCAAGGCTCGGGTAGCAGGGGGTGTTGGAGGTCAGAATTTCAGCAGCCTTGGCAGAGCTGTGCAGGAGCTGGCTGTACTGCGAGGCATGAACAGGTTGTCCACTGGCAGGACCGTGTGGGGTCACAGGATGGGGACAGCAGGTGTTACCGGTCAGGATTGAAATCCATCAGCTGAGGTTTCCTGCGCTCCGATAGCCACGACCTTTTTTTTTTTTTTTTTTTTTTTTTTTTGTTTTTTGGAGGAGGGATATCATTCTGTGGGAAGGGGCAGCTGCGTTAGCTCCATTTCTAAATGGACTTTAAAATATTAGAGGAAATCTGAAAAAAGGTGCAAAAGACAGGTGCAAAGCGACTCCTTCCTGCCAACACATTTGCACGGCTGCATCCTGTTTGAAATAGGCTGGCCTGTAGATCTGCATTGGCAGGTGAACAGAGGGCTTTGCCTTGCAGCTAGTGTGGGAACCAGCTTCAAGATGTGCAAATACTGCATTGTGATCGTATTTATAGCTTTCACTGAGTCATCCATTCATTTCAGCTGTACAACTGAAATGCCAGCAGAAGCTGAATAATTGCCACCTAATGACCAGATTTACAAAAACTGACAACTGCTTGTTTATCAGGAGGAAGGGAAGAATGATCACAGAGTATCTTGTGCATGACAGCATATTTACAAAAAGGCCTTGGTTAATCCTTTTTATGACACTTAAATACATGTGTTGCTCCTGTTCTCAGGTATGTAGGAGAGTTCTTTATTCATTTTACATTTATTAAGTACACTTCTGATCCTTAATAATTCTGGGGGTTTGTAGTAGTCTTTCTATGACACTGGGTGTCATTCTCCCTCTCGAACACTAAAATATTGCAGCAGTAAATAATCGTCTGTTAGAGCTTCATAGGCAGACCTGTGTGGGTTTTTTCATAGATTTTGGAAGGATATTGTACAGATGGAAAGGTCCTCTAAATGTGATTTGATCCCATTTAATATTTCCATTGAACCACATCTCAGAAAAACTTTTGAATCAGTTGGATTCAAGAATTGGAGATGACAAGACACTTTAAAAAGGGATGGGAGCAAAGGGATTTGAGCTAAGGGGGTAGCAAGGCATGGTCAGTGGCACTTTTAGAAGGTAAGTATCTTGTACCAGCATTGGCAGCGGCATATAAATAGCTGAGGGAGAGGTACACCCAGTCTCGCAGGTGGGTGTTCTCCAATAACAGTTTTATCAGCTTGCTAGAATGGAAAAAGGCTGTAAGCCTCCTCATTCTAGAAATCATGCTGACTACAGTTATGAGACTTATTATAGGCACAAGGATTATTATAGATTTATTGTCAAGGTTGCATCTTTGTACGAGATGATTTGTGCCTCCTAGAAAGCAGACTGAAGTTATTCTGAGGTTTTTGGTGATTTTGGGCATTAGCTGTTGAGAAATATTCTCAGAATTGCCATGGGTTACATGAGGAGGGGATTTGGGCTAAGTGTCAGTAAATCAGACTTCTCAAGTCGCTGTTTGGAGACCTCACTGGTTCCTTAAACTGTTGTCAGATGTGTTTGTGGCCTGTGATTATGTTTGTTGTGTGCTGGCTTGCAAGACAGGATATTCACATCCTTTCCTGCAAGGTGGATGGCAACTGACTGCGTGAGCTACCTGTGAACACAGCGCGGATGCCTTGCTGCTCCCAGCCTGCAGCAAAGCCTGACTGACAGTGGCATGGCCTTACTCCTATTTTATTTTGAGAATGAGTACCCCGCCTGCTTGTCACAGCTGCAGCATTGCGGACCAGGAGCAATGAGCGTGACCTTTCTTTTCATTGCAGTGATGGCGTATATGCAGTTCGTGGAAGACTACTCAGAGCCACAGCCGTCCATGTTCTACCAGACCCCTCAGAACGAACACATCTACCAGCAGAAGAACAAGCACCTCATGGAAGTCTATGGGTTCAATGACTCCTTTATCAGCTTAGACCCCTCTCAAGATCTGGCACCTCCTCCTGCTCTCCCACCGAAACAGCGGCAGCTGGTGAGTGACATCTGCGGTGCCCTCCTGGCAGGGCACACCAGCCTCCCAGGAACAGCTCTGTTCTTGCTACTCCTGTTTCTGACAGGCTGTGGTGGTGGGAGGATGTCTCCTTGGTGTTAACACATCATGCTCCTTGTCATCTTGTTAACATGTTTTTAGGCATTTTGCATCACCTACTTTGAGCTCCTTTCTAACCCCATGTTCAGACTGTTCCCCATAACCTCTAAAAGTCCTAAAATGCCCTAAAAATGAAACGTTAGTCTTCCACATGGCATGGCTGAGTCTGTGCCAGACTACAGGCTTGTGTAACGACAACTGCTTTGAAGAATTTGACACACTGGGCAACACAATTTTCAAGAGATTGCTGCACTGTTGTTCCCAATGCTGTTTTGAAACTGTTGTCAAGGATGCCACTAATAATAACCATTTAAACATAATAACTGCTTTTATGGCTCAGTCTTTGCCAGAGCCACAGAACTTTGTTATAGTCATTATTTAACTTGTCCATGTTTTCTCCACATTAGTCCCCTTGTGTGATTCAGGGTTTTACCTGTTTTTCAGTGTTCTGTTGGCCCTCCCAGACTGCCAGCACAAAAAGGCACATCCGTATGTGTATGTGTGTTGGGTGGTGGGTTTAACGCTATAGCGAGTGCCATTTTCCACATGGGGGATGAAATCCTGCCTCAGTGATGGCAGCAGCAGTTTTATTTCCAACCTCAGTGGAGCTGGGATTTTGTCCTATTTCTTTTGAAGGGTCTTCCTTGCTTTTCTCTTTTTTTTTTTTAACTCCAACCTTAGTGGGTTTGTTTATATTAATTATCTGATTTGCTGTATTTTAAAAAAAAAGCACCTTTTGTGCTGATGTAGCTAACTTAAATTGGCCATGGCTTTAACAAAACAGTACGAAATGTGGGAACAACTGCTCATGAGGACAACTGTTGCAATACTTCTTCATGTTATTTATGCTAAAGTTTGACTGTCCCAGAGTGTTGCTTTATAATCAAATGGGAGAAGCAACTGAGAACTCTAATTTTGGGATTTGCATAACTGCATTCCTGTGATGCAGGTAGGAGTCCTAAAAAGATAAAGTGATATTTCCAGCTAAGCTAAACTGAGTCTTATGCATTATTGCTTTGTGGGGATGAGACCTTAAACACCCATGTCCCGTCTGATCTGCAGGGACACTGAAGAGTCTACAGGACTCCTCTCTGAAAGATCAGGCAGTTCTCCAAGCGTCTGTGGTCCCCTTGTCAGTGTGATCGCTGCACTGTCACTGGTACCTTGTAGTCCCTTGCCCTACCTCCTCCTCCTAGAGGTGGTTACACTCAGGTGATAGTTTCCAGTGGTGACTTGGTCTACACAGTCGTGAGGGAGGGTGTGTAAAGTACAGATTTACTGTAGCCATTGTGCAGAAGGGAAATTCTCCTCCTTTTCTGAATTTGTTGGCTGAAGCAAAGCATTCCTATGCTGCCCTTCAATCATTATCTGGGCAGCCAAGATGTCACAGGTTTGCCTGCTAGCATTCTTGTAGTTTTGCAAGCTGATACCATCAAGGCGTTGCTTGCAGTTCCCCTGAAGCAAGGGTTTCTTCAAGTGCAGCCTCCCACCCTTACCTTCATCTCTCTGTTGGGAAAGTGGTGCAAGCAGACGATGGCTTATTCAACAGTCACCATAAAAGCCACCAGACGCTTGTTCCTCTGCTTCTGCTGCCCTGAGTTTCTGAAATAGCAAAGCACGTGGGGATCAGCTGTTCTAGCAGTAGGCAAGTTTTGCTGGACGGACTCCTCTGTAAAATAATAATTAGGAAGTCCTTTCTCGTGAGCTTCGGATCTTATTTCTGAAACATTGTACATTATATTCAACAACTCAGAGCTGAGAAAGCCTAGATATACATTAGCCTCCCTCAGACTCCTTACTATAGTGGAATTCAGGATAAATTCCTTAATAGTATTTGTTACTTACAGTGTAATATCTCCCTCTTGTGAAATGATATATAACTTTGGATTGGACTGGAAAAATGGCTGGACATCACTGTTACCCGGTATCTCAGCAGTACCAGTGAGGCCCCATAGCTCACACTGGAGAGACCAAGTTCCCACTCTGCAGGTTGCCACAAAAATTAGTAGTCTGCAAGAATTGGCTGCTTAGCAGCCAGAAGCAAGAGCCAGTTCCTCCTTTGGGCATCTGCCCCCCACGCCGTGGGGAAAAAAAAGGGCAGCGAGGAACAGCTTGCCTCTCCCCACAGCAGCTGTCCATGGGTGAACTGGAAGGGGGAGGCAGGAGTTTATTTTTAAGGGATTTGTGAAACAAAGAAGATTTGAACTGTGATTTTTGTCATGCCTCTTGAGCTCAAGAAAGGCATATTGGTGTGTCTGGCTCTGATGAACTGTATGAATAGCTGTTTGTTTAGCAAGCCATTATATGCATTGTTTTACAGTTAGCATTTCTTATCCTTTATTCATAGCCTTTTCTGTGCTCTCTTTCTTTGTGTCTTCTGTCTCTTGCTTTCTTCCCCCTCTTCAGCAGGCCTCCTATGCTGCCTCTTCTTTCTCTTCTGTCCCCTACTGTGTCCAGCAAACTAAAGTGCCCTTCACCCCCGAGGACACCGGTGCCACTCAGGGCCTCACTATGTCAGTCTCTAACTCCTTTCTCAACCGGCACAGCTCCTTTCCTGTGCATTCGGTGAGTTGCTCTCCACACTTTTAACACGTGTGCGTATTTGTGTTGGTGAAAAGCTTGTGTGCAAATTCTTTGCTTATGCTCTCGGTTGCAGGTAAAGGTGAAGGTTCTTTTAGGGGCTTTTGAACTCATGTAGTAATCACCCAGGTGAGAAGAACTGTGTGGAAATGGTACTAAATGAAGCACAGGGGAGGTGTGGCTTTCATTACTTTATATACACACTGGTATTGACATTTGTGGCGAGGGACTGACAAAGGAGAGCTGGCCTGTGTGCACTGGCACACTCCTTTGACCCATGTGTTCCCCAGGCTGCACGTTGGAGCTGCAAAGTCTTTTTTTGTTCCGTTGCATAATGTCAGCAATGTGCATGAGTCAATTAAAGGCTGCTGTATGAATCTGGCCCTTGGAGAAATAACAAGATGCTGTCCCCGAAATACATGGATTTAGTCAAATGTATGGAACAGTGGCTGCAGCTCCTTAATTTTTTTTTTCTAGAAAATGGCCTCTACTATATCTTTCATCTCATATTTGCTTGTCTGCTTCCCTTAACATCTCTGTGGTCCCAAGCAAGCTCAGTAAGCTTGTATGATTTGCTGACGAATGAGCAGGGTTTTCTCTCCTACAGCACTTGTGAGCAGCCTGAAGTGAGAACTGCAGGAGGAGCTGAGAATTATTTAAATCAAAATAAGAATAATCTTAGAGCACCGCTTAAATCTGTGATCAGCTGCTTAAATTAAATGGTAGTAATAACAAAGTGTTAATGTAATAAAATTAAATCTAACCATGGGATTCCAACAGCTCATCAGTATAGGGCTCGTTTGCATGTAAAACTATGTGGTTATGCTCTGATTGCCATGTGATGACAACTGAGAATAGGCTATTTTTCAACAGTGACCTGGATGTTTAGTAAATTAGACTTCTTCTGGAGAAGAAATTATCAGACAAGACTTGAGAAAATTCAGAAGTGTTCAATTAGTTTAATACTAACTATTTGAAAATGGTATCCTCCCACTGTGCCACTGCTATCTTCCCATTTCAACACGTAGTCATTCTCTAAAAACTAGTGATAATCATGGGTCCGAAGAAGAAGAAAGTATTCAAGTACTTTACAAGTAGCGCTACTTCACAAGCAATGGATTAAAGCTTTTGGCTTCCATTTGTGTGTGAGAGCAGTATCATCATTTTGCTGTACAGATGAAAAGGCTGAGGTGTGGAAAGGTTAGTGCTTGCATAAATTTGTGGTAAACAGTTTTAAAATCTGAAGTAATACAAAAGTTCTGAACTGTACAGCTCTCTTGTTTGATAGTGAATCTTGCAAGCAAAACGCAGAACTATAAGACCAGGTAAAAGCACTTCACTATTTTTGTTTTAATTGAGAGGCTATAAATATGATAGTATAATGTTCTAAAAATATGTGGGCACTTTCATTTTAAAAAGCGTCCTCGTTGGATTAAATGGTTACTACCTACTTAATTGTTCTGACCTGTTCTCATCTTGCTTTGGACTACATTATTATGAATATTATTATTTTATGAAATGTTAAAACTTCATTAAAAAATCGTTACTCATTTTTGCAAGGATTTGGTGAAGGGAAAATAAATGGCTGGAGCATGAGGAACAATGAGAACAATTAGGCAGTGCACTGTCAAATGCACAAAGAAAATAAGCTGAATTAAAAATGGTGATTTTTCCATTAATGCCTTTAAATTATGATAATCTCATAGTTGCTCATGACTCTGGCTGGTCTATTTTTTCACAGGCAAAAATGAGATTTTCACTATGACAGTGTCTCTTTGTCTCCAAACTGCAAAATACCAATGTCCTTACATGCATCATAGCTGACCCATGTAATACCATAACCATGGTTTATCCCATTTTCCCTATGCCTAATAAGACAGAGATGTGAAACAGCTGTCAAGGTTTGGATCATTCCCAGGGTGACACCCTGCATTTCAGCGCTAAGAAGGACCAGGGCCCCTCTTGCAATCTGCTGGAAAGGCCATGTGCTTTCACGTGAGGGATGCCACAAGCTGCGCCAGTAACACTTTAAGCTCTGCTTCTCTTATTCTCATGTCTTCGTTTTTCCTCTCTCACCAGAGAAAGGTGAGGTGTGAGCACTGTGGTGAACAATAAACCTGTTAAAAAATAAGCATTAGTTTCCCACCAGCCCCAGCAAGGGAGTTAATGCTAGGAAGAGCACACCTTTCATACACCAGCCAACTGAGGAGTTGGCCTCTTGTGTACCCAAATATCAGTGGTGATTATCAGATCTCTTAAAATGATATGTCTCCTACATTAATCGTTACCCATTCCGTACAGGAAGCAAAAACCTCCTTAGCTCAATACCAGGAAGTCAGAGCTGATGAACGAAATGGCTGTCCATTGACCCAACGTGAGCAAAGTGTTGCAGGTTTGCCAAGCGTAGCCAATTTTCAGAAAGTGCCCTGTGCTTTTTTCCTTCCCTGGAGGCTGACCTGGGGTGGACAGCAGGAGTCAGTCCCAGAGGGAAGGCCTGGCCTGTACCCATCTGTTCACATGCAGGCAGCAGGAAAGCTGAGCCTACACCGTGTTTTGCATGTTAGCCCATTAGCTCTGTGCTCCAGGTGAAGGACTAGTGCCTTACGACTAATTTACAGGGCTTAAAAGGACTTGTTTTCAGACAGTGTTTTGAAGCAAAAAAGAGGTGAAGTTGTTCAGAGCATCTTTACTCTTAATTTTTATGTATGAATTTGTTTTCAAGAACCCTGGCTTTTTTCTTTCCGATCAGCACTGCAGACGCTGCTGCAGTCCAGAAGCCACCACTGCTCTGTCAACCCACTAATCGCGTTTTTTCCCTTCTTTGCAGAAAACTGTGTCAGAGGTAATAGCTTTTACTGGATAGGGGCAGATCTTGAGCAACTGGATCAAACCTCATAGGTTTGGCAAGTTGAGCTTGTTTTTTACCGAGTCTGATTCGCGTCTGGCCTCTGTGCCAGCAAGGGTCGTGTTTGTAGTATGGACTGATATTGTAAGGAACTGCAGCATCGTATTCCCCATCCCTTGCATAGTTAAGCCATTAAATCCCACATTGGTGGGACAACTGGATTGTACTGTCGAGTCATTTTAGGGATTCCCATCTCTTTTGAAAGTACTTTCTGTTGCTAGACGGTAGGAAAGGAGGTATGCAATAAGAAAGCATCCTCCTTGGTGATTGTTGGCAGTAGTTTTTCTCTAGCTGATCACCTCCCTCCTTTTTTCTTGTGAAGAGAGAGATACTGTCATTTGGTTCATGAACTCCTTGTGCTGTTTGACTGGAAATGGGTGGGCAGGTATCCGAAGGGCAGGAATCAAATCTCATTAGTTCCCGGCAGCTGGGGAACTCTGCACCGATAGAGGAAATCGGTCTGGTGACAAGCTATACTGCTATCCATCCACGTATTTTCCACCAAAGACTGCAAGAAGTCTTGCATTCAGTTACAGCTAGGAATGTTTTCCTCACTGAAACAAGGAAGGCAGTTGTTTCTCCGAGGCATGTACATGCCATTAGTGGAAATTTGGCTGCATCCTCCACTATGGAGAAATAACTTGCCTTTTTCAAAATGCTGTTTTTTCTTATGTTTTCTTTTTAATTAAGAAACATTTCCAGTAATTTTCCAGAAACCAGATTGGCTGTTGGATTCCAGCAGAAGGCGCAACTGATTTCCTTATGAAAGCTCCAGTTCAGCGCTTCTGTTCTCGCTTGTTCCCACTGTTTTTGAGCAAATTGAGCAAGCGCACAGAAAATTCACAGCAACTGTTTTTCTTTCTTGTGTGTGTGCTAATGTATGTTCAGCAAAAGGAGAGTCAGATAAGTGTTTAAAGACGTGCACAATGCAGACATGTGCTCCGCATGTTTTCCCCGCCTTGGCCCTGTTTGTGTAGCTCACTTCCAGGCTGCAAGGCACGCCACAGCTCTGGCCCTCAGCAGAGACTGAGCTGTTTTGAATTCATATGGTCGTCCGATGGTGGGAGCCATGAACCAGGACTGGGAGATCATAGTGTGTGAGTTCGTTTCTGTCCTAAGCAGGTTTTAGCTCCTTAGTTTGGAGCAGAAGGAAGGGGGCGGGGGGGGCGGGGGGGGGAGATTTACATCCATTTAACCGGCTGCTGAGGTCTAGGTATTGTTTTGCCCTTCCTGTTTAGTGTTCCTGCTGCATTTGTGTTCATTTCCACTGCCCACAGCAGGCCTGGATGGTCACATTAATAGTGCTGTTGCATGCTGGCATCACTGAATCCTTCTTCTGAGAACCACTTCCTCTGGTGGTTTATACGTTTTTCTTGCAGTTGGAGCACTACCTGTCTCTGCGCAGGTCTTTCTAAGCAGTCCCCTACTGACTTCATAAGTCACATTTTTTGTGTGACTGACTTTTTAGGAGCCTTGTCTTTGTCTCCAGGCTCTGCGTTTTAAAGATCTGCTTGCTAGATATGGTGGCATTGTCTACTACCTAAACAAGAGTTGATGCTGTAGGTGCAATCAGATTGAATTCTCGTCATAGTTTCAAATGAGAGATGCATGATAGCATGGTTAATACATCTTACGTGCTTTCTTCCCTCCTGCTCCCTGTCCCTTTTTTTGTTTTGTTGCAAAGATGTACAAGAATCCCTCTCACTTAAGGAGAAGTTTGGATTTTGTGTTTTCTTGTGCAGAAGCCAGGAGACCCTTTCCCAAGGGAACAGCAAGCCCCATCCATCCATCTGCTATACTAACCATCACTTAAAACCAGGGAAGACAGCTGTGCAGCCAGGTCAGAGGCTTTGCTGAGAAACATTCAAGCATGAGGAGTTGCTGCCTTTCCTGTGACAGTGCTTGAAGCCATTCTTTTGGCAGCTTGTGTTTCCAGCCATTCATTGTAGGAGCGTTTCCTTCCTCATTAGCAAAAGTACCTGGAAGCCCAGCATTGTGTCATGAGATAGGAAGTCTTTTCCAATAGTTGTCTATGCAATTATATTCTTAGGGCGTAGCAGTTTTGTGCAACACCCAGTATTTTGTGAACATAGTTCTCTACTGTTAGGATTTGGGCATCCAGTTCTGGAACATTGCCCATGTCACTCTCTTAATAGCATTAGCAGAGGAGATCTAAAAGATTGATCCTTTCCTCTGATAGCTTCATGTTTTGGAAGTCTGATGCTCTATCTGATCTGGGAGTGTCTGGCAGGATCGCAGATTAATTTGGCAGAAGTTCGAAGGGTAACTGAGAAGGCTGTGCTTAAAAGGTAAAGACTGTGTCTGCTGATGCTGCAGATGCTCTGACAGCCATATAATTGAATTCTACTTTGAATTTAGGATGGAGTCGCAACCAGTGACTCCCTGCATATAAACACCCTGCCTCCCTGTTACTTGTGGTCAGCCATGCCTAGTGAACATAGAGGAGCATTACTCTTGGAATAAGTTTTCTATTAGAGTGCTTATCTCGTGCCATCTAATCCAAATAAATGGTTGTAATGTCATTGACCTTTGGGACATCCTGTAACACTGCTGCTAATGATGGAAAGCTGTTCTAAAATATTGACCGTTGCAAAAAAAATCAAAGGCAGCAAATTGAAAACGTTGAAAGATGCCATCTCTGGAAGACCTCTGTGTGTCACAGTGTGTGGTAAACATTCAGGTCCGTGCATGTTAGCTTCCTGCTGTTCCCAGGAGACGAGATTGCTCCGAGCTCAAAGCACGCTTTGTCGAAGTACTTCTCAAGCGGCAGATAGGGTTTTTTTTAAAATCCACTTTACTGGTGAGAGGAGAGGGATCTCTCTCTTCTCCCTGTGTTGGCCATTTGCTGTCGTAGGTCAGGATCGCTTGTGCTGGGAGACCATCTTCTGGTCCTGTGGTGGGAGCCTGGCAGCATGGCTGGAGTTTGGATAGAGGAAAGCATCCTTTTCCAAAGGATCTAGTTGCACCCTGCTTTCTAGCTTTCCCAGAGATTATTTTGACGTACTTTACTTAAAGCAAAACCATTGAGTAGGAGGTTGTGTCAGCACAGGCATAACCGAGGCCTTACTGACCCTGCAGGAAACCTCTAAGAAGCAGATTAAAACAAGCACTGATTTTTTTGCAAGATAAACTGTTGCCTGTGATTTCTTGGGGCAAGAACTAGAGGATGACTAGCTTGCTTGTGACAGTTCCATTGAATGGACTGTCCCCTCCCAAAAAAAAGTATGTCTTTTAAAGGATGACAGGACTTCCAAGAGATGTACAACACCCAAACCCAGTGGAAACCATTGCTGCAATTCCTGCTGCAGCTGCTGACTGGGCTGGGCTGGATCGGACTGGGGAGCAGCAGGAATGGGTGCCATATGGACATCATCTCCACCGCAGGGTGTTTTTTTTCCCCTTTAAAAGTATGCTTCATTCTTGGCTCTTGTCCCAGCACGGCTGCATAGCTGAAATTCCAGAGCTGCTTGCAGGCTCCGGAGGAAGGAGGGGGCTCCCTGGCTCGCTTTCTACAAGATGCAACTTTACAACGAGATTGGAAGTCAAGAGCAGCCTGGCTAATTAATGCCAGCTCACCAAAGGCTTCTCTGCACTGTTCCCTTTGTTAACAGCGTGCTGAGAGCATGTCTGCGTCGTTAAATGATTGTTCACGGATCACATAATGAAGATTAACGCATTTGCCTGGGTACCTGGGCCTTAAACCGGCATTTTCAACACATCTCATGCCAAGATATTGTTTTGAAAGCTGTATTGATGAGGCCGAGGAAAGATGAATGTATAGTGATTGTCAGTAGTAACGTAGCCACATTCAAACTTTAAAATATATGCAATGTTACATTATATTTAGGTCTAAATTGCCTTTGAATTGGGATTAATGTCTCTGAAACCATGCAAGGCAGAAGCTGTGCAAATTTTCCTGCCCCAGAAGCAGTAATTTGTCTCCCCGAGCTGCTAGCTCAGCCTGCAGGCAGTGTACCAGGCAGCATCTCAGCTGCCGAGCCTCCCAGCCGGCGTTTGGCCTGAACTAACCCTGCCAGCACCATCACGCAGCGTGAGAGCTTCGCAGGGTGCTGCCTGTCCCAGAGTGACTTGATTGAGGACAGTAATTTCCTTTCACTCATGCCCTGCATGAGCTCCACTGCTGCTTTGCGAAAGCCTGGCTTTTTCTCTGGGTTCGGCAGGTCAGAGACAAAAACCCCTTAGGACTCCTTGGTGGAAGATGTCCATCAACTACAAAGTGAAGGACAGCGTATGCCGCCTGTCTCATGTGGGTGCAGGAAGCCCAGCTCTAGGGGAGCTGGCACGTAGGTTCTGTTTGAGCAAATTATTTCCTTCACTGGAGCAGAGGATCTCATTACCGGGACAGCAGTTTGTTGAGTGCCTTCTCGAGAGCTGCTGCAGCAGTGGTTCTCCACTCTCTTTACTCCTATTCTTTTTTGGGGGTCTAGCCTGGGACTTGGGGCGATAGTTGGCATATTAGCGCCGGTGAGATCATGAAATACCAGGGAGATGGGGCAGGCATAATGAATCTGCTGAGCCAAGATGATGTCATGAGCCTGGCGTCTTACAGGGGATTTAGTGTTTTGTGCCATGCAAGTGAAAATGTATAAATGTAGAGCATTTATCCAGGCAGAAAGTAAATACAGAGATTAGACTTGTCATTGTTACTGAGGCAGCACCAAAAGCTGACAGTGTCCCTGGAGCCAGGGCTGCTCATCCGGAAAGAAGTGGGCAGGAAGAGAGAGGAGCCTGTCCTAGAGCCAGTCTCCTTTTAGCCACAGGCATGTGGTAGGGATTTGCATTTTAATTATTTTTCAGTAGTCTTTTAAGCTCTCTTTCCAAAGCATCTCCCTCTGCTCCTCTGTATTATGGCCTGCAATTTGTTTTGGGCCCTGAGAATACACCCAGAGCACTGCCAGACTCCACGCACGGCGGAGGGCAACCACTTGAGGATTAAGGTGGTGGAAGGTAAAGTCTATCCATTGACCTTTACGTTTCCTTTCCTTTGAGTGGAAAAGGTTTTTTTGCCCAGGCTTCTGGCCCGGGGCTGTTCTCAGTTTAGATTTTTAAGCTCACATCTTTCCTAGATAGAAACAAAAATACCGCTGCCGAACTGGATGCTTCTGCTGTAGCTCAGGTGGCAGACTAAGCTTTGCTTTTTATCACCCGCTCAACTCTCCTGAGAAAATGTAGCCTGAATTCTCCGATTCATGCCTTTGTTTCCCTTTCCCTTTTTACATCACAGCGGTGTCACTTCAACCTGGTTTGAGCAAGTTGTGTCTGTGCTTCTTGAGAGCTCTGTAATGCAACCATCCTTGTGCAGCAGATCACTCAAATGAGCAACTGCCACAGCTTCATTTCAGCGTGGGTTTTTTTGGATGATGTGATTCTTCCTTTGGTCCACTTGGCTACCACACAGACCTTGCTAGTGGTTGAGCTCTACAGGTTTTAAAATAAACTCCTCTCCAGCAGGTTTAACATTTTTGTTTTTTTTTTTTCTTTTTTCTTTTTTTTTTTTTTTTTTCATGGGTGTCAGCTTTGTTTTGGACTTACCCTGATGGCAAATCTTACTAGCACCAGATGTTAAAAAACAGAGGGTTGCTCTTGTTTTTCTTGGCACAATATATTCCCACTGCACCCTGTTTAATATTATCTGAACAGTAATCTGATGATTAGGAGAGATAGTGAAATAAAGCTTTACGCAGATGATCTCTTTTCATCTCTTCAGCTGACTCTTCGAGGCACTGCATTAAAGGATCGGTTTGATAAGGAATTCATCGCTCCTGAGGGCAATTATCATTTTTGCTCCCTATGTTTCTCAAATGGGAAGGAGTAGCAGCGTAATCTCCTTTATCCTTCAGTGTAACTTTGAAGACAGTATCGGCCACTCCTCCCTGGGAGCTGTGTGTTCTGGAACAGACTTGACACAGTAGCTGTTAAATTACAGGGCTGGAGCAAACGGCATCTTAAATTTGGATCCTGTGGAAAATCCCAGAAAAGCAATAAGCACTCAGCACTCGGAGTACTTTTCTCTATCTAGATATTTCCAGCATGCTCACAGTCGTGGTTTCTGTATGCCTTCACATCCTTTCATCCACTCAAATGATTTTCAGGGTCACTGTCATTAGCAGTATTGAGATACCCAGGCTTTCCCCTTGCCTAGTGAAGGCTGGATACCTGCAGGTAAACACCCTGGTGCCCACGTTCCCTTTGAGATGAGTAGCTGAGCTGCTGTTTGTGCAAGAACATGCCTCTCCGCGAAAAAACGGGCTGACGTGTCCCAGGTAGCAATTCCTGCTCTAGTGTGTGGATGATAAAATAGTGCTGCCTCTGTTTGGGTTGGCGTCTCGACAGAGAGGTGCCTGTGTTAGAAATGCCTTGTGCTATCACTGCTATGCTACTGCCGGTCTAATTACTTTTTCTTTTGTCTGTCTCTTTCCCCATCTTCCTTGTTTTTGTGTTGTACGTCTCTGCATCCTGTAGTACAAATCTGTGTTTAGGTCCTACTCCCAGGACTTTGTGCCTCACAACCAAGTCTCCATACCTCCTTTCCTCTCTTCTACCTCCTCCTCCTGCTCCACCCCACCTTTTCCACCCGTCCATCCATCTCAGAGCTCTGACCTAGCGGTGCCCGCCGCAGCCAGCCAGTCACCCAGCACTGTGGATGTGCCAAACTCCTCTTCTCAGGAGAGCAGCTTTAACGGGAATGCTCCTGTCTGCCTTCCTTCTGAAACCTCTTTCACTGATTCTCTCCAGACGCCTTCGGTGAGACTATCCAAAGAGATAATGCACCTTAACGCAAGGCTGGGTTTATTTGTTTTTTAAAAGAAAATGTCTCTTGTATTAATACATGCCAAATGTGATCTAGTCCAGTTTCCAAATGTGTGTGTGAACTGCAGAGAGGTAATTTCATATAAAAAAGGTGGCTAGAAAAAATGAACCTCAGCAGGTTTGAGAAAACGTTAGCACATATGTAGGAAACATAAAATGTCAAATGCTGGCGAAGGGGAGAGGAGAAGTTGCTGCAGCTTCCTGTAATTGTAATACAAAGCTGAGGAAGGTAAAGGAGTGTTTTGTGAGGTTGGTTGTTTCTAAACACGGGCTCCTAAGTGGTTCGCATCCTGCAGTTGCTGCCATGGCAGGATTTGGTGATTGCTGCCCTGCTCCCTCCTAAGTCACCGGTGAGCCCCAGGAGCGGTGGGTGCAGTCCAGCTCTGTCTCTCCTGTGCATAAACCTGTTGCTCTTTCCAGGCTCTTGCTGTTTCCAGTTACCAGCAGCCCTAGCTGTGCGCTTGGTGGCAGTACACGTTGGTGCAAAGCATCACGTGTTGGTGAAGTTAGACTAACACTGTTCCCGCAGTGGTATGGCACTACTAGTTTGAGATCCCAGAGCAGTTTTACAGATCACTGACCAGGTTTGTCCATTACAGCTACTTTTTTAAACACCTCATTTTCAAGACAGTTCCTCGTTTGTTTGCTGCAAAGCCTAGAGTTGGTGAGGTTCGAGCTGTCAGCACAGTGCATGCTAATGCTGCCTCTTCACAACGTTTGGAAGAGGGACACTGATCGGACAGTAAATGATCAGGTTTTCACACTTTAGACCTGACCTTGTTGTTGCATCTTCCTTGCGTTGGGTCCTTGTTACAGCCCAGAAGCCCTCAAGTTTGGTTTGGCCTGGCGTGATGGCTCTAATCTGTGCTTGTAGCATAGTTTGGGAGATACATTTGATACCCTCTGGGCTGCAGGGCCGATCTGCATTTAGTGGCAGGACTACAGCGCAGGTAGGACCGACACTTGTGTGTCAACCTCTGAATGCTCAGCTTCCGTAACCTTGAAATCCACACTTGCATATTGCATCTTCGCAGTCTCACATGGAGTCCATGGCAGCTCTTGCAAAGCAGTGCCTGCTGCTGTCCTGCTGCAGCTTGGGGCCTTCGGCATAGTCCTCAGGAACCAGAAAATACTTACCCCCGGGAAGGTACAGCCTCACTGGCCGGTGTTGGCCACTGAGCCGGAGGAAGGGCTTCCAGTTAGGTGACAGCAGCCGCTGAGAACGCTTCTCCTCCCAGCCTGTGAGCACGTTCTTTCACTAACATTAAGTGCTGGCGGGGGGCACCATCACATATTTCCTTTCATCCTGTCTCCCTTAGAGTGAAAACGCCAGTGAGGAGGCTGGTGAGGGTGAATACGTCAATCTGTATTCCTCTGGCCAGAGCAACGGGGAACTCCCTCGCTCTGAAGGAGTAAGTAACCTGGAGAGGGCTGGACACCGGGAAGGGGCTGCCTGGTGCATGCTGAGTTCACACCGGGGCTGACGCGCTTGGCACCGGCCTCTTCTGCACCCTGTGGAGCTCCTGTGTCCGTCCTGCTGCTCCGGCTCCCTTGCTGGCGGTCCCTCTGCTTGCCCACTCCTGGCTTGCAGGCTCGGGTGGCCTCCCGGTCCAGGTGGAGAGCAGGCGATGCTTTCAGGGTTGCGGTGAGCCCCGGCAGGTGGTAGGGATGGCTTTTCCTGCCGTGCTGTTTCATTTGTGCTTCGCTGTCTGTTTGGAGCTGCTTGCGTGAGGTTCTCTTCCAGAAAGCTGCACCCTGACCAGCACCGTCCTGGGGCCATATCTATTCTTGTAACTGCTTTGGCTTCCCTATTTTAATACAGAAAGGCTTGTGCTCTAAATTGATTCTTTATTTTCCTTCACCGTTTGGATACAAAGTAAGTGATTGATTTAGCATTGTAATCGCACGCTGCTTCTTCCTTTACTCAAGCCTCGTATCTTAGGTATTTCCTAGAGGAGACAGGGCGTTTTCCATTGAAGGGAGGTACTGTCTTCCTGTTGGAAGCAGGAAACAGCAGCAGAGGTCTGTGGCCATCTTTTTGCCTGCCCTCATCTTGGAAGGCACATCTCCTACAGGATGTCTCCGAGACCTTTATCCATGCTGGTGTTAAATATGCCAAGAGATAGTGCTCCCATCACTTCCCTTCAGGAGACACATCTAGGCAGGCCCATCCTTTTGGGCAGCTGCAAGCTGGTTCTCAACTTTGAAGCAAAGAGTTTTACAGATACAGTCTGGAAAAAATCTGCAGACGCTAAGAAAGCTAAGCTCACCAGTGTGTTTTCCAGGCCGAATGGATAGCATGTAGGTGGTTTCAGTCCTGTCTGTTCAGTAGGTTGAATTTCCAAGTTTCAGTCTGCATGATGTTAAATAATTCTGAACTCCAGCAGTTAGATTAATATTCCCATTTGCCGTTCATGGCTATTTGTCTCCTTAATAAATGGCTAATTTAAAATGCTGTATCTTTGCATTGAGCTCTCTACCTGCTGTTCCATGCCATGGGTTCAGATGGTTCTGTTTTTTTTGCATTAGCTTCATTTCCACAGCTGTGAATTGTGAAGTGGAAATGTTGCATCATTGCATAACCTCTTCTGATGGGAGAGAAGGGAGGTAGGAACAGCAGTGTGCATCCACCCCCTAAGACAGGGTGGTGTTTTGGGGGCTGTGACCAGGAGGGGAACTGAAACTGAAGAGCTTAGAGCTGGCTGTGTCCGTTTTGATTAAAGCAGAAGGCAAGTGTATTTCAACAGTAAGGGCGGGAGGAAGAAAAGAAAGTCATCAGAGGGTTAAAATCCAAGACGACAGCTCACTTGTGTTGTAACTCTCAGCATCATTTCACAATGTTAAAAGCAAACAGTACTAATTACACTAGTCTCCAGAGATGGTCCCAAATTTCCTGTCTAATTAACTTCTGTGTTTTCCTGGCATTTGGCATTAACTTGCATCAATCTTTAACCGCTCTGTAGGAATTTACAGTAAGGGGCCATTTAGAGGCAGTCAGACTGTAAATGCAAGGCTAGCTGTGGTGTAGGACCCCATGTAATAATGAAAAACTTCTTTCTCTTTGCAGGAATCTCCCTCTGTCAAAGACAGCCACTCCAAAGACTCCAGTTCAAACAGCAGTGCCATGGGGAAGGAAGGCAAAGATGGTGCTGAAAGGTGAGCCTGACTCCCCTGGTCCTCCTGCTTCCCAGCCTGGAAGGGTACAGAGTCTCACCAACGTCCCGTTAGCCCTGCCCTCTACCAAACCGTCCTTGGGGCTGCCTGTTCTGCCCTCAACCTTCCCAATGTTCTCTGAAGTTTAAGCCCACTTTTTTTGCACAGCTGGTGGGCAGTGGGATCCTGCTGAACAAGGAGGATCCTGGCAAGCTGTCATTACTTAACTCAGTGAGCCTGCAGGGGTTAATGCAGCCTGTGTTAGCCATCCTAAGTACATCTAATTGGCAGTCCTGTTATTGACACTGGCTGCTCCCTCCTGCTTCCAGGGAAACGTGCGAAAAAAGTCTGTATCACTGTTGGGAAATAGTCTTCCAGAGGGGAATGTCTTCCTAACCCTGCTAGTCAGAGGCTGGCTGAGGCCCTGAAGCAGGATGCTTTATATCCCTTCTAATGCTCTTAGCTATCATTTGTCTATGTAAATGAAGAGGTGCAGGCTGTAACAGATGGGCTTCAGGAGGAGTGGAGTGAGTGCTTCCCTGCTGCTTGAGATTGCTCTTCAATTGCATTTCTAAAGCAAAAATAGAGAACAGCATTGTTTCGTGTGTGACAGTCAACTTCCCTCCCCCATTTTCCTGCAGTTGGTTTGAGGGTTTTAATCCCTGCAGTGAAAGAGACAATGCAAGAGTGCTCTGCAAAGCTCACTATCTGCTGAAAGTATGGACTGGTGCACGGATTTTGGCCTGTGCCTGGGGAAGGCTATAAAGAACATGCGTACTTTTTTTTTTTTTTTTTTTTTTAAGGAATACAGGCACAGAGAGCATGTGTCCAGGCACAAGAGTACCAGCCCTTGGGGGTAGGAATAGTAGAGTTGTGGATGTATGCCAAAAAAGTGGTCAGAGCTTTCTGCTCTATCTTCCTGCAAAAAGAGAGCCTGTCATCTCCCCTTGTAGCAGCACAATGGGTCATGAGCTGACTAAGTTATATATGTGTAGAGTATGCTCAGTCTCTATACATTTGAGCAAGGGCTTAGATTTGTGTGCACTAAAAATTTGGTGGATTAAGGAGGCATGGAAGTGTGTACTTATGCAGGGCATAGTAAAATCCTGTCTGCCAGAAATGCAGGGCCTAAAGGTTCATCTTTATCTTTTTCAAGAGATGCACAAAGCAACAGAATTAGAGCCAGACATTTGGGCTTGTTTGCAAAAGACTTACCTCCAGACTGTGTGTGTACTTACTGTCGCTTAATGAAGGTTTGTAGGCTGAGAGCTCGGGTGGACCCAGCATCTCTTGCCCTGGATGGGCAATGACACTGATGGGTATTTGCCTTTTTTTTTACAGGCAGCAACAGTCACCAGATGCTTTGGAAGCATCACAGTTGGAGGAAGAGGTAGATGAGCTATCCCTTATCGACCACAGTGAAATTATGGCTAGGTTAACACTGAAGCAAGAGGTAGGTGCATTCAGGCTTTGCTTTCATAATCTTTGGTTTATGCTGTATTGAAATCTGATTCTCTGTGTGCACAAGCAAGGCATCAGCTTTTATTTGATAGGAAAAACTAGGTTGCAGCAGAAGTGGTATACAGCTTTATTTGTGCAGGCTGTTGTGAAAGTATGAGATGCTGGTACAGGCAGGGAGCATCAGCAATGAACGAGGGTTTAACAAAATGTGAGATGTCTCTTTAAAAACCAGTGCATCTTGTGCCCTTTTCCCAGTCTGCTCTTTCCCACCTCTTCAGCCTGTGACAGACTGAAATGAAGCACCTGAGAGCCTGAGCACAATAAATCCAGGTGTGGGTTCATGCTGTTGGCCTTCCAGTCTGAAGGCAGGTTTAGCAGATTTCCTGAGCAGGATGTTGTATTACTGATGTGGAAGAGCAGCCAAAACAACTGTTTCTGTATTTGAGAAATGGCTTTCTTTCTAGCCTTGGGTGCACTCCCAGACAGCTTTGCTCACTATGCTTTTGAACGAAGCTGTCTTTGACATGCAGCTTGAGGGAATATGCAGGCTTTTGAAGCTTTGAGACTGTCAGGGGGCTAGTCTGTAAAACAGAGAGAATGTATCATTTACTGGCACTTTAGGAGTGTTCTTTGGTCAGCCGAGATGTGCAGGAGAGAGTGAGAAGCTATTACTCATTCCTTAAGTAGTGTTTCATGAGTCTTGCCAGAGGGTCACCTGAAAAATTCGCATCTCAGACATAGCTGCTCCATGGCTGTAATCCGTGGTTTTTTCAGTGTTTTGCATATTGAAATGACAAAGACGTTGCTAAGGGAAGCCAGACACGACTCCAGTCTCCTCTGCAGGAATATTTCCTTTAAAAAACAATTCAAAATCAGCAATTTCTGAACATTTGAGACTAGCAGATCTGTGTCAACCCTTAACTTCTTTTTTCTTTCTTTTCTTTACGGTCTACATGTTTGAAACGGTATAGAACTGCCACTGCGAGCTGTTTCCTGCAGCGTGGGAACTGCTGGCTGAGCGATAGATCAGTTTTGCATATTTTTAGTTGTGAATTGCAGTAGCTAGAAGAAAGAAGTTTTTAGAGAGTGGTAAGGCAGGGGTCAAGTAGTTAGCAGGTCTGTTTTCTGCTCCCAGTTATTGGATCGCTTCAGGTGACCTCCAGCCAAATAGTTCCAGATTACGGAACTAACTTACTATGTTTTGATGTTCCAGGAACATGCAAATTGAACGCATGACCTCTCACCCCACAGCCGCTGTGGTACGTGATCCAGCACTTTGAGACAGTTCACACAGTGTTACTGCTCTGTTAATGGTCTTCTGGGAGTGTTTGAGAGTCTGGGACATTTCTGTTCATTCTTCTGCGGACAGAAGGTTCAGCTTTCACTGAGCTTCACAGCCTGGCCTTAAGGAGTCAGAGATCCCAAGTGAGGATCAGCCCAGATCCTCATCTGGGACACCAAATGCTGTATTCAAATTCCAGGATTAGCCCAGCACTGAAGACCATGTCCCAGCTTGTGCTGTGAGCAGTGCCAGGAACATTGCGTACTCTGCCAGTTGTTGCTGAGCTTGAACCCCAGAGATGGGAAACCAGGCTGAAGGGAGCTTGGGCCATGCCTAACGTGTTTCTGTTCTCGTTGCAGGGAGATGATGGGCCAGATGTTCGTGGTGGATCCGGAGACATTTTGTTAGTGCATGCAACGGAGACCGACAGGAAAGGTACAGTGGATGCACCAAAGCAGAGATGAAGAGCGTAGCCTGGCATGGCCTTTTGCTGCTTGCCTTCTGTGTCCCTGCAGTGTGTGCAGTCGTGATGTGGCTGCAGGCAGCTGGGCCAGGGTGGGGAGGACTGCATTCGTGATCCTCCAAGTTGCGGGTGGCGGGGGGGGATTGTGCTTATCTTTGGTGAAATGGAGGTAAGCTGGATAAGCGCCTGTTCGTTCCATTTAGCAGCAGGGATGGTATTAACTCCTCATAGCCCTTGCCCAGATCTGGAAGGCGAGGTGCACCAGTGGAGTTGGTGACAGTGCTGTGTTGGTGTCTCCATACCTCCAGCCACTGCTTTCTGTGAGTGCAGGTGTGACCAGCCTGTTGTGGCATGGGTCCTGTTTTCAGAGGTGCTCCTTGCCCTTTGAACTTCAGGGCAGTGGCGATGTAGGAGTTGCTGGAGTGACTGTTGTATCAAAGCAGGAGAGGAGGGGTGTTGGTTTGGGTCTAATGCAGTACCCATGGGCATCGGGCAAGCTGTCCAGGTGCTGGTCTGCTGACACCCCTTATTTTCAACTTACAGTGTCACTTCCTAGTCCCACTCTGTACCAGTTGCATACTGGTAGCCACTCAGACCAGTTCAGAGAGGGAATCCACAATACAAGAAAGGAGATGTGGGGGAGGAAAAGGGAAGTTAGCAACTCTTCGCTGTAGATTTGTTAAAATCCCACTTTATGTCTCCAAACCCAGTCACCATCCACATCAAGCAGCTCCTTTCCAAGACCTGTGGCAAAGACAGCCTTTGCAATGTTTCCAGAGAGTGATTTTGAACCTGCCAAACACATCTGTGCTGATGGCCTTAACCAGAATTGATCTCCTTATCTCCCGGGATGCAAGGCGCAATGCGCTAACCTGCTGAACCACTCAGTGCTCGTATTTTAGAGATTTGATAGTCAAAGGGGAAATATCTTTCGTGTGCATTTTTAAATGGCAGGGTTTTTACTGTAGCATAAGGTGTTTGCAATTACTTACCAGCACCATTCAGCTAGCAAGAAAATCCTTCCCCTGACAGCTATGTTTCCCTGTTTACATTGGGCATCAAATCCAGGCAGAAAGGACCAAAGTTAGAAACATACTAGAGAGGAGGTGGCAATTGATTGCGCCAAGGCTAGATCTGTATATTTAAAAAAAAAATAGTCTAAATGAGATGGCGGAAATACCCCTTATAAAAATGCTGAAACTGGAATAGAGAAGCTCTGATTTACTCCTGCTGTTCTCCGGAGCAAGCATCACGTTGGAGGAACATCCCTACTGTTCCTGTGAAAGACAGCTACTTGGTAAAGGGACGTGTGCTAGACCTCCAGTTCATGAATGGGGGGCTCAGAGGGTGCTGCAAGCAGTGAGGTGAAAGCCATTGAGAACCGCTCAAGACTAGGAAGAACTAGAGCGGGATTTTAAATGCACAGCAGTGCGGACGGGGAGAGTGGCTGAGGGGAGGGAGCTCTGCACGGCCAGTTTCTCAGAATAGTCACAGAGCTTAGCCTCACAGGCTCTGCCAAGCCACTGAGCTGAATGGAGCACGGAGGAATTTGTGCTATGCTAACCCAGTGTTTGGGTGACCGAGAGGGTTAATGAATTAAGCTTACAATGAGAAGAATTCAGGGCTTGTAAATCAATCAGCCAAACAGCACAGAGGGGTATAGTTAAGAGGCTTTCCTTTAAAGATGAATTTCTTGGCAGCTTCAAGTGCCAGAGCAGACCAGCTGTATTACCTCACGTTGCCTTTTGGGCAGATGGGAACCCAGAATAAATGTAACTCCACGCCCTGTTGCATGATGCTTCTTGTCCATTTGAGTTTTCTAAAAGAGCTAAATGGAATAAGGGATAAAGAGAGACTTGTGGTCTTTAGGAATAAAATCCATGGTCAGTTAAGTGCTCACAGCCACACGCGCTTGCTGTGAATGCAGGATTACAGCTGGACGAGGCCTAGGACTCACCCCTGACATGACCACCCAGCCTCCGGCTTTAGAGCTTACGTATGATTGTCTTCAACCAAAAGGCAGCAGCGCTTTCTGATTTAAGAGCAGGAGGAAGCGGCGTCCCTGTCAGGCTCCTGCCAGGAGAAACACCGCAGGTAGAGAGGCATAACGAGCACACCGTGCCCTGCTCTTTCCCACCCTCCATGCGCAATGGATGGATGTTACAGCTCATGGGTGTGGGGTGATCCCCGTCCTGGCTGAAACAAGCTTTACATGTACAGCCTAGCCTGGGCAGGCAAGGCAGAAGCTTTTTCTCCCCATCTGCGCTAACAAGGCTCTGCCAGCGGTTGCAGTGGGCTGGGCAGGGGCAGTGTGCCATCCCACTGCACATGCTGCCTGCAGTGCTGCGTGGTTTTATACCGGGGCTAATAAGTTTCCATTTTGACCGCTGCTGTCCACAGTGACCAAGCTTTACCTGGGACTGCGAGTGTACTGCAGTCCTGACCTAAATCTTCTTTCCCATTTGTGGTTCCTGCTTTTTCGAATTCCCTCCTTTGTGCCCATGATGATGGCCAAAGCCTTTACAATTCTGGGGCCTGTAGCACCCACTGCTGCAGATGAATAAACAAAAGCTGTCTGCGTGCACCGCGTCAGAGTCTGTGTTGTGGCAGGGTCATGGACATGGTAGCATCAGTTTTTGCAGTGCAATTTACTCTTTTTTTTGGCTGAAAATAAGAGTTTATATTTACAATGTCCTGGGGCAGATATCCTGGAAGGTAGCAAGGGCAGAAGGTCTGCAGCACCCGTATCATCACGTCGAAACGCGTGTGTTCCTGATCAGGAGGGAAGGGTGACCATGTCTTTCTGCAGGGTTCTGTGCTGCCCAGGCAGTAGAGACAGAGAACAGGCACCCACATCTCACCATCAGATCTTCTCTTTAAAGTATCCGCAAGGTCTAAACCACAATTTTCCTTGACCCATTATTGCAAGTTCCTGTCCCACAAGCAGGTTTTTTTCGCTGACGCCTTTGGTAGTCGCATAAGGGAAGCAGCAAGCCTGAGTGCTGCAAATGGGAGCCAGGCTGGTGGGGACAGGGCAGTGTCAGTGTTGCTCTTGTGCCGTAGGGTCCATCTGCCGGTAAGAAAAAACAGCACAGCATTTCTGTAAAGTCTGTTCGTGTCAAAATGTGTCCGTGTCCTCTTCCTGTAAAACTGGATTCAACCTTACAAGAAGCTTCCTTTTTCTGAAAGCAGGGTTGACTGTGGCTTTCTTGTCTTTCTCTGTAGATCTGGTGTTGTACTGTGAAGCCTTTCTGACTACATACAGGACATTTATTACCCCTGAAGAGCTCATCAAGAAGCTACAGTACAGATATCCTTTTGCATGAGTGGCAGTTTACTCCCACCCAGGAATCAGAGCCAAGCACTCATCGTGCAGGGAGCTGGTGGCAGGTTGTTTGCTCAAAAGCCTGCTGACAACGTGGTCGGTAATGTGCTTGCCCTGGAGGTGTCCCAAGCAGGACTTCCTTCACCTCTGCAGCTGCAAATGGGAAATGCTGCTGGGCAGGTCCAGGCAGGGTGGAGTACTGGACCTGAGAGTAGTCTCCTGAGGGCCCTGGCAGGGGAGAATAGCAGTTCAGATTTTCTGTAAATCACTGGGAAATTGGTCATTTGTTTGGGACATCTTGTTTGTAGAATAGAGATCACACCGCCTTCTGGAGGGGCTGCTTGGGCAGGTGTAGTTTAATGCTAGAAATGACTAAACCATCAAGACCTATTCTCTCTCTTACTAAAAGAAATGCAGCACAGGAGATAATGTCCTCTTGGCCTCCCAGTTCTGAACAAAGCTTGTAACTGCTAAGAAGGTGAGGGTCCCTGCGTGGCAGGGTGAGCATTAGCATTTCTGGCAGCGTATGGAGAAGGCTTCTTGTTGAGGACCCTGCCTGCAGTTCCTTGCCCTTGGCTCTGTTCCCATAGGTCCCTTTGCCCTCAGCTTAGCAGGTCAGTGTCTCGGTTCAGGCAGTGCAAAGGCCTTGTGGGCTTTGGTCCTGTGGGCTTAGGTCCTGTATGCCCACGTCAAAGGGAGCCTGACGTCACCCTCTCCCGCGTCGCAGCTCATCACTGCCATCTGCAGCAGAGCTGCTGCTCCCCTTGCTCCTGCTGGGATCAGTGTGGCCAAGGACACAGCAAATCTCACTGCAGAGCAGTTGTCAGTGAAAATACTGGCTGGGGCATTCCTGCAGGCCCTTGTTAATACTTGACTTACTGATAAGCTTTTTCTCTTTCCCTTTGTCCACCTGGCAGAAGCTTTCTCAACCTGTGCTGTGTCCCCTGCCACCATTCTCCTTGCAGTAAATTGGGCAGTGAGGAAGGTAGAGGTGACATCTGAGATCTGTTGAGACCAGATGTCACAGACCAGTGGGGGATATCACGGTAGAGGAGTGCTGCTCATTAAATTCCACCTTAGAGAGAACAGTTTCACGGTACACCTGCTCTTCTAGCATCAGTTCTGCAAGGTGTAAGTACCTCCTCACACCCCTGCTACCGGCAGCTGGTGGTAGCTTAATACCATGTTAATTAGAGCCACATCAGTGTCCCTTATCTCCTGGAAATTGAACACCAGTTTCAGTCAAGACAGAATAGTACGCTATTCTAATGTTCCTCAAGACAGCTGTTAATTGCACTGATGCTGGTCTGACCACATTAAGTTGATTCTTTAATTTGCAACCAACATATGAGAAGTTTTGCCACTTTCCAGACACGTTTAAAAAGCGAGTCAGTAAGAACACCTTCTTCGTGCTGGTGAGAGTGGTGGATGAGCTGTGGTGAGTTGCCTTCTTCATTTCGGGATGGGAGATGTGGGGTCAGTAACAATACAGAAATCTGGCAGTTGCGAAGATGTGTTTTTTAAACCCCATCTATGATGACAGCTGAAATCCCTTACCCTGACCAGTGAGACACCTATAGTTCTGAACCCTCTTGTTGGAAGAGCAGGTTCTCAGTGTGTCCTAACTGGGTCAGTGATTTTAAAATAACCAGCAAAAGTAGAATCTCTGGGAGAGGAAGAGCTGGGAAGAGGAGGAATTTCAGTCACTCAGTTCTGCTTGTAGGGCAGAGTGACAAGACTCAGTACAGGTACAAACTCTGTAGCTCAGAGTCGTAGCTCTGATGCCTTCCCTGGGTTCTCCATCTTTCTCTCAGCTTAGTGGAGTTGACGGAAGAAATTCTGAAGCTGCTGATGGACCTGGTCTTCCGGCTGGTCTGCAATGGGGAGCTGAGCCTCGCCAGAGTGTTACGCAAGAATATCCTTGATAAAGTGGATCAGAAGAAAATGCTGAGCTACGCCAATTCCATCAAACCTCTTGCGGCCCGTGGCGTGGCAGCCAGGTGAGGAAAGATGCAAGTAACCATATCTTGGTCCTTTGAGAGACAGGGCATCCCTTTCTTGTGGACACAAGAGATTTCTCAGTCCAAAATACAAGAAAGGAAAGACAACAGGTCCCGTTTTCTTAGCCTTTATACTTCATCCTTGTTTCCTACAGGCCAGGCACCCTGCATGATTTCCACAGTCATGAAATAGCTGAGCAGCTGACCCTCCTAGATGCCGAACTCTTCTATAAAATTGAGGTACAGAGACGAAGATGGGGTAAGAGCGGTGGGAGGGATTTGAACACATACCCCCTGCAATCTCTGGTATTCCCTGCCAGCTCTCCAAACACACCCGTTGGGTTGTAGGAGACAGCTGAACTTGTGTCAGCAAACGGCTGTGACCACAGACTGCAACTGGGAATCTTGAGGCAGAAATCCCATTTTAATGTGTGGTATTTTCCCACCCTTCTCTTCTTCCTTGGCAGATCCCCGAAGTTTTGCTTTGGGCAAAGGAGCAAAATGAAGAGAAGAGCCCCAACCTGACACAGTTCACAGAGCACTTTAATAACATGTCCTACTGGTAAGGAGCAACTGTGGCACTGAACTGCGCACTGGTTCCCTTGTTACAAGTGGGATAATGTATATTTTTGCCCAGGAAGTAGATGCAGGGCACTTTTTAAAAAGACCCCAGAGCACAAGAGAAAAAGTGAGGAGGGTTGTGGGGGGCACCATAACCTGGAGGAATTATTGTCAGTACCGTTGAGCCCTTCAAACAAACATTCCCCTTGCAAGTAAATGCACTCTGAGAAGGGTTATTGTGGTCATCCTTGAAATTATTCTTTGTTGTTAATTAGAGTGCTCTATTTAAATTGGAATCATCATGAACTTTTCAGTATTGTTGATCCATCCTTATCAGTTAGCAGTTCTGTAAATGAAACAACAAGAAATCTGGCATCTGCTTAAGTGGGTTTATCTTTCTGGGTTTTCTTCTGTCTGTTCTTCCAGGGTCCGTTCAATAATTATGCTACAAGAGAAAGCCCAAGACCGAGAGAGGCTGCTCCTTAAATTTATAAAGATTATGAAGGTATCAGCTTGATTCTTGCTGTGAATCACACACACTGCTCCTTAAAGGAGCAGAGGAGTGGGACTTTCTGGTTGGTAGAGCTGTGTGATGCTAGAAGGCTTTTCAGATCTCTAGAGTGACTGGAATATTCTCTCTCCATACAGCACTTACGAAAGCTGAATAATTTTAATTCCTATCTGGCCATTCTTTCTGCACTGGATTCTGCACCCATCCGAAGGCTGGAGTGGCAGAAACAAACCTCAGAGGTGAGGAGCAGCGAGGCCTGTCATCTTCAGGGGAAAAAGATAACTGTGGTTACGGTGTGAAACAGCTGAGTGGTTTTAACAGCTCAGCAACGTCCCAGGGTGGAGGGATGACAGATAACTGCTCTCCAGTGGGTATAATGCCACAGTGCTGGAAGCCTGCAGCATGGCTGGGCATTCTGACAGCTGCAGGAGTGCCAGCGCAGTCATGGGTGAGAACAGCCTCCTCTTCCTCTCTCCAGATTGAAGGCTTGATGAGGCTGAAGGCAGTGAGGCTCTGTGTATGTGCACTCAGGGTCAAGCTGAGTAAATCAGTTGGAGGTGTTTGCAGGATGGCATTTAACTCCCTGGCCTGCGTGGCTCTCTGGGGAGAGGTTACAAAGAAAATGGGTTTGCAGCAGTGGTGTCAAAGTGGGCTTTGTGTTCTGCCAGGGCCTGGCTGAGTACTGCACACTGATTGACAGCTCCTCGTCCTTCCGCGCCTACCGAGCAGCTCTGGCTGATGTGGAGCCTCCCTGCATACCTTACCTGTGAGTTGGTATCTTCTTTCCTCTGCCGTTACTTCTGCACGTTAAAATGGTTCTTTCAAGGATTTCTCAGCAGCTTCTGCTCAGCTCAGCACTTGCCTTTTGCCCTACATCTAGAGTAAGATGGCAATGTGCCACATCAACCCACGTGCCCTCTCTGGAGCAATTTGTCCTGTGGCATAGGAAGGCAGGGTGGCAGCTATCTTTTTGTAAAGAAGGCTTTTGTCAATTGACTGTGGTAAAGGAAAGATCAAACAACTGGATCTTCAGTTGATGCTTTTTAACTATATTTTCTTTGGGGTCTGTGCACAGAAAGACAAATTTTCCCCTGAGGTGCAATGGATCCCACAGCTTCGAGCTGCTACTTGCTCCTCCGTGACAGCTCTGGCTCTGCTGGCTGCACGAGCTGGTGGATGAGGAGTCTGCTTTGCCAAACATGCTCCTTCAGCCTGTTTCTAGATGAAAGGTTGAAGCTGTTGCCCTTCTCCGTAAGGGCCTTCTGATTTAGATACGAGATTTGCTCTGGGTTTACACCAGTAAAACTTCTCCTGGTCTTGCTTTCTTCCATGGAAAGAGTTCTGTAGGAAGAGGTTGCATAGGTACATGCCACCTCATCTGGCAGGGGACCACAGCAGGGCTGTGCACAGACGTGGCCGACTAGTGGAGGCAGAGGGAGGAAGGCAGCACAGACCCCTTTTCTAGGGAAACCTCAACATGAGGGAAACCCTCTTGCATAAAACTGGAAGAAAGGTTTAACCCCTGGCAGGCATTTCCTGTTGCGACCTTCTTCCAGCCTGGTCCTCCTTTCCACGGAGGGTGAATGAGCAACCTCAGCGCCTTTAGCGTGACCATGAGTGCCTCGCCTCAGAGGTTCCTCAGCTGTGCATGGTGGGCTCCTTGCACCTGAACACCTTTGGATCTGCTGCTGGGGGCATGTTTCCCTTTAGTTTAAAGTTGCAGTGCTGATGGTGGCAGCCATGGGAGGCCGTTAGGTTGCCTGTGGCTCCCTTTTGGCTGGCTGTCCTGCCCCTGTGTGACTAACCTCTGTACTTGTTTGCTTACTCCCTGGCCCGCTGCCCCTTTCTCTCTTTCAGAGGCCTCATTCTGCAGGACCTGACCTTTGTTCATCTGGGAAACCCTGATTACATTGACAGCAAAGTGAACTTTTCCAAGCGCTGGCAGCAGTTTAACATCCTGGACAGCATGAGGTGCTTCCAACAAGTGTAAGTGCAGCAACAGGGAGGGCAGAGCTGGCTCTGAGGCACCACGGTGGGGATTGGTGTGGGGGGTCGTGGCTGGGGTGCGGGAGCCCCCGTGGAAGGGCAAGGGAGTCTAAGGTCAAAGCATCATGATGGAGATGTAAGGAGACCTGGGAAGGACAGGGCTCTGGTCACAGGCTCCTTCCCTCTCTAGGTTAGCTATGACTAAAAGTTGTGAAGACGTTTTTCCTATATTAGTTTTGAGATCCAGGGCAGTAAAGTTTTGCCACTACTCTCTTTCAGACAACAGTTTTTCCTCCAGGTTTTGCTGTTGCTGGTTCCTATGTTCTCCAGTTCGTGGAGGGTTTTCTTCAATGCTGTCTTGCAGCAGAGGCAGCAGATCTAACTGCTGATTTCAGTGTGATAGGGTCTTTTTTTTTTTTCCCCTCAATTCAGCAATGGGCATGATGGTTTTCCCCTTTTTGGTGTCACACCACAGTCACAAGTATTGGGCTCAGGTAATGCAAACCCCACAGCGCTGGATGTCCCTTAGGGCAGGGCAGGGGTGGCTCGAAGTTGGGAGAGGTCCCCAGGTAGACCCTTGTTTAACTGCCACCCTACTCTGTGGTTTTCCAGACATTACGACATCAAAAGAAATGACGACATAGTGTCATTCTTCAACGATTTCAGCGACCACCTGGCTGAGGAGGCCTTGTGGGAACTGTCCCTCAAAATCAAACCTCGGAACATTACGAGGCGGAAAACAGACCGAGAAGAGAAAACCTAGGAGGAGGGGTTGTGCGAGCGAGGAGAATTGCTCCGCAGATGCACCGAGGGCAGCTATGAGACTGGAGTTCAATGTTTGTACCTGTTACTGGATGACGCACCCTCCCTCCCAGCTGGCAGCGATCCCTGGGTGTGTGAATGTCGGGCTCTCGCAGCAGGCAAGAAGTGACGGCACGCGTCAGCCGTGAAGGGCAGAGATCAGCTGGTGCTCGCTGCACTTGCCCTCCTTCTCCTCCCGTCCCTCTGTGCCATGAATCAGCTTTAAACCCGGGGAGAGAGATTTGCGGAAGGAGGGTCCCATGCAAGTGTGTTACTGGTTTGCTGGCGGATTGCGTCTGGGAATACCCAGGCTTTTGTTTTCATCCACAAAGGAGGGTCAGCAAGAGCTCAGCACCCACAAACTTGTCTGCAGAGTGGTGTTCAGCAGGCAGCAGCCGTGGAAGCCAAGGGTTTGAGTCTCCCCTGCAATGCCACCTCGAAACATGTTCATCCCTAGGAGATGAGGATGGAAGAGTCTCCCGCTGCCTGCCAGAGGAGCTCTGCTTTCGGAGAGCTGCTTGTGTTTACAGGGGTCTTCGGTTTACCCCAGATCTCTGGCGCCTTCTTCATGGGAGGAAGGCACCGGTCGTAGATATGGAAGAGGCACTGAAAATGTGGGCAGGGACCCGCCATCTCCAGTCATCGTATCCCCCTCCTCCTCTCAGATCTTGTTATTTAAGCAACGGTAACCCCTCCAAACCCTGGAAACATTGACTACCCGAGGTACTGTGGTTCACTTGTCCTGTGAACCCGTATCTTTTAGTGATGGTACTAGCTTTTGCACAGTAAATGCTGTAGTATATGAGACTGTAAATATTAGTATTTAGAATCCATTGGGGATTTTTTTCATGCATGTCTGAATACCGATGGGTTTATAGGAAAAAAAGAAAAGTGCAAAACAGTATGTATAAAGTTCACAACCAGTGACAATGTTGTTCCAAGTGCTGGAAGAACGGAGGTTCGGGGCAGCCGCATGGGTGCTGGCTGTGGAGCGGGTGCAGGAGCCGAGCGAAGGAGCCAGTGGGTCCATTTCTGGGGTTGGAAATGGGAACCGGGAAGGAGCCCTGTGCCCGGCCGAGCTGCCCCGTCCCCTCCACCCCACTCCTCTCTCTTCTCACTGTTGCCAAATGGTTTTTTCAGGGGGTCCCCATCTGGCTGACCCTTGGTGCTGTGCTTCGTGATCCACGCTTTGGCAGGAGCCCCAGCAGATCCCTGTCCCCAGTCCCGCTGTGTCGGAGCCAGCAGGGCAGGGGCAGCCCGGCATGGAAGAGCGAGGGGGGGGGTCTCATTTCCCACACACGCAGCGTTAACCCCAATCTGTTTGGTGTGCCTTATTCAGCCCCTCTGTCCCCTCTTTGTGTCCCACCCAGGGTGTCCTCCCTAGTGCAGCCCCAGCCAGGCCATTTCACGTCCCTCCCCTGTCCCCATCCGATGGTTTACAGTGTGGTCGTGGGTTTGAGCGTACGCTGTAGGTTTTAGCAGCCTTGCGAGGCCTTTCTCAGCACCGTGTCTTGTGGTCACAGGTTTTTACAGAGTTCCGTCTAACAAAATCCTGCGGTTTTAGGACAGCGGCTCACAAGGAATACGGGCAGGGTGTCTGTGTCACAGAGCATCCTTAACTTATTTCTCAGTAGCAACTCCTTGTTTCCTAAAGCCTCTGTTTATTCTGGGTGAATCAGAGTTGCAAGCACTTCCTTCTAGAAACAGATTGCAAAGTCTTAGCTGGCTCCCTGCAGACGGCAGCTCTGCCCAACGGGTGGCAGGAGGGAGCGACAGCAGTGTTGCCCCATTTGTAGGATTGTACCCCGCTCGATTATTTTCCTGAAGATTTAGGCACAGGACTTGTTCAGCAGCCAAATGCTGAAGCACAGAGAGACCCCCCTGCCCGCTCTGGCGTCTTCTGGGGGAGGAGAGCATGGGGTCCAACACCGGTTCATGCTGTGCAACCCCAGAGCAGGAGGAGCAGGGACATTCCTGCACTGAAATGGGGCATCCAAGCCAGAACATTTCAAAAACAGTTTGTTTTTATGGCACTAAAGGGCATTGGAGCCCTGTGTCATGTCCAGCTGAGGCTTTGCAATCCCCAAAGGCTTCCCAGCCTCCATGCAGGAAGTAATCTTGTGTTTTCCTTTGTAAATAAGATTTAAAAAAAAAAAAAAAAAACAACACGGCGAGACTGTGAAAAGGCAAATACACCCCGTGTCTGGCGCAGGCTTCTCCCCGGCCAGCTCCGAGCACCTCCCTCGGACGGTGTGCTGTGGCACAGGCTGTTTCTAGGAGTGTCGTGAGCGGTGGTAGCACTAAAACCGCAGCCCATCGCTCCGCTTTCCCCGTGCGGGGGCTGTGGGGGTGCAGCGTTCATGGCTGGGGCTCCATGCCACGGAGGTACAGGAGGGTGCACCTTGTCTTCAGCCCTGCTGGGATGCTCATCTCCTCTCTTGCTGGCAAGCGGGAGCTGTTACTAGGTTCTTCCCTGCACTTGAAACCATGATCCCTCCTAGCACCAAGGCGGGGGGGTCTCGCTCCCCACTCTCCGCCAGCCCCCCTGAAAGCCAGAGGCTCAGCCCGCGGCATGGGGACGGGAGGTCTGCGTGGCCGCAGCACCTCATCCAGCATGGAGGGGCCGTGCCCCCCGGCTTTCCTGCTCTGCTTCTCCCCTTCGCTCTGCGGCCATCCCCAGCCGAGTGGGCTGTCCCAACCATGGCTCCTGGCTCGTGTCCTGACCTCGGGCCAGGCTCACAGGGCTGGAAGGACCCTAAAGAAGGGTCTCCTTGCCCAGAGCAGCTTCAGGTTTGCTGACCAGAGACCCCCCCCTCTCCAGGAGCAGCACCCCTGGGGAGCAGAAGCCCAGAAGAGCAGCCCTTCGCAAGACTGGCCATGAGCGTGTTCGCCTGTCTGCCAGGCAGCGTTCTCGAGACCGTCACCTCTCTTTTGGGGGGAGGGAGGGGGTCTCAATCCCCTCTCTGCGCAGGGCAGGGAGCAAAGAGAAGCGATGCCCCCGGTCACCAGCCCCCTGCCCCGCTCTCAGGCCCCCTCACCCACCCCCAGCTGTTTGGTTGTACTATATATTTACCACTAACCCAGTCCTGATGGTGGCATCTTCCTGCAAACATTTCAGACCTGTAACTTTTATATAAAAGACAAATAAACACCAATAACAAACCCGCCTGATGATCCTGTTTACAGTGCATGCAGCAGTCTGTGGATTAAAGTGACAATCGAATCCACTTCTGGCGCTGGTGTGGCCTCGTGTTTTCTCATGTGCCCCTTGGCGTTTTCCTCTGCCCTTGGCCCTTTCCCCTGTAAATCTCTTCCTTACCTCCGTCGAGATGGTCTCGCCCCAGTACAACCCAGTACAAGCCCTACACTTGGGAGGGGATGTCTGCTCCTGTCACCTTCTTCTGGGCACTGATGTCCCCCGTGTCGGGGGGTCTCGGTTCCCCAAAACACACGTAGGCAGGCGTGTGCCTGGCCACAGCCCAGCCTGTACGGCAGCCGCATGCCGGGCGGCCGAGGGCTATAAATAACCCCTGCGGCGGCCTGGGCGGCCGAGCACGCTCCCGCGCTATTTCAGTCCTGGACGGGGTTCAAAATTCCTCTGGAAATAATTGGCATCGGCCAGCTCGGGAGGAGGATGCCCAGACACTAACCGAGCATGTACCCCCCCGGCTCACTCGCCAGGGCTGGACCGGGGTGCCGCATCCCACCGGCCCGACAAAGCGCGAGGGGGCTGCGGGGTCTGTCGCAGCCCCCTGGGAGACAAGACGGGAGCGTGGCTGTGAGCAGAGCCGGGGCCTGGCATGGGGCACGCTGACATCCCCGCTCGGCTCATCCGAGCAGCCTTTGGAAGACCCAGCGGCTGGTTTTCCCCTTCCCTGCAGCAGCTCTGCGAGCGGCACCCCCAGACCTGGGGCTGCTGCATCCCCAGCACGGCCCTGCGTGGGCTCCCCTTCCCCAGGGTCTCCCCGGGGTCCTGCTTGGGCTGGAGCCCCGGCACCCACCTGCTTTGGGAGGAAACCCTGATTTGATCACTGACAGCAGAACTTAGCCTGAATTTTGTGGTGGACAAAAGCCGCGGGGCGGGGAGGGGAGGTCCTTGGTGTGCAGAGAAAACAGAAGCTTGGGCTACACCTGTATTTTATTTCAATCTGGAAGCAGCAAGAAGGTGGTGATACAGCATGTGTGTGTATTTGTGTGTGCAAAATTACCGTAGAGGCTAAATATATGGGTTTGTATCTTCTCACATTATTAATGACCAGTGAGGGCTTCTCGCACGCCCAGAGCAGAGCGGCTGCACGCCTTGGCCCCTCCGTTACACCTTGGCCGTTTGCTCCAGCCCCGGTTCTACAAGACGCTCCCTCTGCACCAGAGTCCCATTGGACACCTCCAAGTGACGGTCCGTGGTAACGGGGTTCAACATCCCGCAGCAGAACCTGATGCCGGACATGGTGCCGCTGCTCTGACGCGGCTCCTTGCTCAGAGCCGGCTCCAGCGGGACACAGCACCGCCATCGCTTTGGTCTGGGTTCCTCCTGCCTGCGGGGCTGAGAGCGGGCAGGCGAAGGCACGCGTGGCTCTGGAGCGGCTCCTCGCCCCGCCAGGAAGGACGGACGCTGCCCCTCAGCCCCGATAACGCTTTGTGGTCACCCGTTTCCCGCAGCAGCCCCGGTGATGCCATGCGGGGACTGCGGCCGCTCCACCTGCCCGTGCCCACCCCCCCGGGCCGTGCTGAGCCGCAAGAAGCCCCCGGCGCACGTCGTGTCCCTGGGGTTCGGGGTCCCTGTCATAGGTACAGGGCCACCAGGACGTAGACGACCCAGCTGATGGAGGCGAACAACCCGAAGAGGAGGCTGAAGAGGACCAGCGACTGGGCTTTTTTGGATGCCGCGTTTGCCTGGGCCACGTCCCCACGGCCGAGCGCAGCCCGGGTCTGGTGCGAAGGGGAAAGGTTAGGAGAGACCCGCAGTACCAGGAGGGGGGAATTCGAGGTGCCGGGTGGGTTTGTGTAAATCAGAACCGCGCGGTCCTTACCTCGTGGGAGTAGAGGAGGGCGACGACCCCGGTCAGCAGGCAGCAGAAGACGGTCACCAGCACCGACTCCACCATGTAGTCCTTGGGCAAGCGCTGCCCACAGCCGGCGGGTGATGGCCCCGTGCTCGGCTGCCCGTCATACTGCGACGCGGGGCAGGGGGCGGTTAGAGCTGCAGGACCCCCCCACCCCGGCCTTGTACCCCCTCTTGGGTCGTGCTGCTCAAGCATCGTTTGGGGCGCCGCTTGGGACCCCGCAAACCCAGGAGGGGGGGAATAAGGGGTGACCCCGCTGCGGTCAGGGTGAGGGATACGTACGGTGGTGTAGGGCAGGGGTGAGGGTGGGATGCCCTGGGGTGGGAATGGTCCTGGCCCCCGCCCTGGCTGGTAGAGGACGGGCGCTTGCTGGGAGAAGCCGGCCGGGAACGGCGGGTAGAGGAGATGAACGCTCTTGGGGTCCGGGGGGGAATAGGGCGGCGGGTCGCCCTCGAAGGCCGCGTTGCTGACCGCCGCCGCCACCACCGTGGGTCCGTCCCCGTTGCCCGTGGGGGGGTCCCAGCGGGTGCCGGAGCTGGACGGTCCCCCGGCCGCCCCGCTGCCACCCCCTCGCTCCGGACCGTGGCCCCGGGGCCCGACCGGCGGCTCGCCCTCCATCCCACCGAGCGCCCTGCGGGGACACGGAGGCCGTGGGCGGAGGAGCGGGCACAGCCCCGGCCCACCGACCCCAACCGTGTCCCCCCCCCCGGAATTAGGGTCGCGTTTCGGGCTGGGACTGGCTCTCGCAGCCGAGCCCCCCCCCCTCCCCCCCCCCACCCCCGCCGCACCGCAC